ACCTTTCTGCTCTTCAATTCTGCCTTGTTGTTTTTGTCAATTTCAGTCTTTTCTGTCCTGGTCATCCCAACTCAATTACTTTCACTTCCCCCTTTCTTCCCCCCCCCCACCAGGTCACTTGGCATGGAGTGAAGACTGCAGCAGAGGAAGCTGAGTAGCAGACCGGCAGCAGCAGTTGCAGCAGCAGAAGCAGTGGGGGGTGGTGGCTTAGGGGGCAGACTAGGTTAGGTCGAGTCGTGAGTGAGGCCTGGTATGGTACCAGGTGAGGTCGAGTCGTGAGTGAGGCCAGGTGAGGTATGGTACCAGGTGAGGTATGGTATCAGGTGAGGTATGGTAGCAGGTGAGGTATGGTATCAGGTGAGGTATGGTAGCAGGTGTGTTGTCTGATTCCCTCCTCTCTCTTTCTCTCCCCCCCCCTCTCTCCCTCCTCCTCCCACTTCCCAGCAGCCTGAGGCATCATGGCGCTATGAACGGTTATGGTAGGTACAGGTAAGTAGGCATGGGGTGAAGGGATGGGGGTGAAGCATGGGAGCAAGAGGGCAGTTCACTGCCTTAGGGGCAGCATCCTCTGGTGTTGTGCCTTGTGGTTCGGGGTGTGGTGGGTGGAATCTGCGCGGCACGGCACTCGGTGCTCAAGTAACCGATCTGGCGTTCAAGGCCTAATGGACACCGTCAGAGCCGACCGGCCGGCGGCTCTGGTTCGCGTCAGCTCTGGCTACGTCAGGGGTGGGATTTGAGTCTTGGGCTGGAAGCAATTTTCCACTACCACACCTCGCCCCACAAGGCATAGCCTCAGGGGGTGTTTTTTCCCTAAGGAAGTGGGCTGTCTGCTGCTCCTACTGCTGGCAAGTGAAAGTGAGGAGGGGCTGAAGCCCCTTGGGAGGGTGAGTGGGAGAGAAGGGGCTGAAACCCCTTGGGCGGGGAGTAAGAGGTGGGGGCTGGAACCCCTTGGATGGTTGAGGAGGAGGAGGGGGTTCAAACCCCTTGAATGGTGAGTGAGCCTTGGGTGGGTGCGGGAAGAGGGGGCGGAAACCCTTTCGGTGGGTGGGTGAGAGGAGGAGGGGGCTAAAACCCCTTGAAAGGGTGAGTGAGAGGAGGGGTTGAAACCCCTTGAATGGGTGTGTGAGAGGAGGGAGATGAAACCCCTTGGGTGGGTGAGTGGGAGGAGGGGGATGAAACCCCTTGGGTGGGTGAGTGGGAGGAGGGGGATGAAACCCCTTGGGTGGGTGAGTGAGAGAAGAGGGTGAGTGAGAGAAGGGGATGAGTGAGAGAAGGGGGTGAGTGAGAGAAGGTGGGGGTGGTGAGAGAAGAGGGTGAGAGAGAAGGGGGTGAGTGAGAGAAAGGGGCTGAAACCCCTTGGGAGGGAAGCTCCTTGGGTTCAATGAGTGGGAGGAAAGGGGTCTGGAATCCCTCGGGTGGGTGAGAGAGGGAAAATGACTGGAACCCTTGGAAAGTGAGTGAAGGGAAGGGCGATGAAACCCCTTCGGTGTTTGATGGGAAGGGAAGGGGCCTGATCCCCTTGGGAGGTCGAGTGAGAGGAGGGGTTGAAAACCCTTGATTGGGTGAGTGAGAAGGGGGGTTGAATTCCTTTGGGTGGGTGAGTGAGAGCGGGTTGAAACCACTTAGGTGGGTAAGTAAGAGGAGGGGGTTGAAACCCCTTAAGGGTGGGTGAGTGGAATGGACTGGTACTTGCGTAGTATTATACTGCGGTATCATACGGTGTGGTATGATAGAGTGGGGTCTGATACATTATGGTATGGTACAGCGTTGTATGATACAGGTGGTGTGATACGGTGTGTTATCATACGGTTTGGTGTGATGCAGTGTGGCATGATGCAGTGCGGTTGGATGCACAGTGGTATGATTCAGTGTGACTTGTTTCAGTGTGACTTGTTTCAGTGTGACTTGTTTCAGTGTTACTTGTTTCAGTGTGACTTAATTCAGTGTGACTTTATTCGGTGTGACTTTATTCAGTGTGGCTTGTTTCAGTGTGACTTGATTCGTTGTGACTTGTTTCAGTGTGGCTTGATTCAGTGTGACTTGTTAGTTCGCGACATACTGGGGTGTGTCATTGTATGGTATGGTGTGGGATGTCATTTGGTGACATAGCATGGTGTGGCATGGCATCATGCCATTGTGTGGAATGGTGTGACATGTTATTTGGTGTGACATGGCATGGCAGCATGTCATTTGGTGGCATGGCATGGTGTGGCATGTCATTTGGTGGCATGGCATGGTGTGGCATGACATCATGCCATATCCAGGCTGGCAGCATCTGGAGAGCAGTGGAGCACGATGGAAGGCAAGGAAGACAGGGAAGAGGAGGGAAGTGGGTCAGGGAGTGGAGGTATGCCATGTGGCAATGGCTGCCTCACCTGCCATGCCCGTCCAATGCATTTTCCACAAAGCTTTCTCTGTACAACGAGGTTTTGGCATGCAACGAGATTCACCAGGCAACAACTTGCCAACAGCATCTGTCAGGCGCCACGCAAATGTTGGCGCGAATATGTTGTCACCAGCATGGCCCTTCAGGCATTTCAGTTTACTGAAATCCCACGCCTCGCATGCAACCAATCCAGACACGAGGTCAGGCCAGCCTTTTCTTTCCCACTCCACTGTGCTCTAGAATATAATGGTAGGAGGCGAGGCCTTCTCACCATCATCTGACGAGTCGTCAGTTTCTGACGCACGAGCTCGCGGGGCGTTTTTGTTCCTAAATTAGGGAAGCATTCGCGAGCCGTTGGCAAGAAGTGAGGCTTGGGTGTTTGATTTCATGGCGTTTCTCCTCCGGTCGTCACGCGCGGAGCGGGTCGTGCGCGCGGGACTGGCGGCGGGGGATTCCGACGAGCTTGGAGTCCCGCGCTAGGGAGTTGCTTCCCTACCACCAACCTTTGTGAATCGCTACGCACCATTCTCAATTGTTTGTAATCTTCCAGATAGCTCCACTGAATTCTTCTTTCTAAGCTAACATTTTTGGAATCCTGATTATCTCTCCGAGAGTCAAGCTTCGGCCACACGGCATTTAGATGGTGCGTGGTAACCTCTAGCCAACCCTCTCTTTCTTCTCCTGTCTACATTATCGGTGCATCTCTCACATCGTCAACTCCTCTTCTGCCTCTCATCTTACAGCGCAGCATGGGAGCTGCAGCGGCAGCGGTAGTAGCAAGGGGCAACAAACAAGGGCGAATCAGCGGAACGGAACCCTCTTCCCGTAATACGTTCTTCATCCCTTACCCACCCCTTCTCAAATGCTTCCTCTCGCTTTCCTTTCGTCTCTGTTTCTTTCAGATCTTCCTAGTTTTGTTCTATCTCTTATTTGAATGCCAGCTATCTCCAAATGTGTCGAGATGGCCGAGTTGCTCTAAGGCGCTGGATTAAGGTTCCAGTCCGAAAGGGCGTGGGTTCAAATCCCACTCTCGACAGGCTTTTATTGCCCTTACAGGCCCCAAGCAAGGGCGATATAACTGAGCTGTCTTCAGGGTACGATCCTCGTCTCCTCCCCACCTCCTTCATATATCTGCACTCAGATTCTTTCACTCTCTCACCTTCGTTTCCTTCATGCCACCTGCTCTCTTCTCATATCCTCCTCCCTTCCTGCGTTTCCTCCTCCAGGCAAGGGCAGTAGTGGTGGCATGGGACGGACCTCAGGCAATGCCTCTGGATTTCATTTTTCTCTTCTCCTGGCTGATCACCCAACCCTCTTCTCCTCTCCCCCAAGGTCTTGGTTTTCTTCCCCTTTTCTCCTGTTTGCTCCTCTTTTCTCCTCACATGCCTTTACCCAGGCTTAAACTAACTTTTCCCCTCTCCTCCTCCTCTCCATTGCTTTCACGTGCCGTTTCCTCTCATGTTTCCTCCATCAGGTGTGATGTGATGAGAATCAGTGAGCTGAGAAACGGGTTGGCAGCAAGGGTGCACGAGAATATCTCATGAGTTAAGCCTTTTTTTCTTGGTAAGTTTCTACAACCTATCTCTACTGTCCTTCCGTACATCATACTTGCTGGACAAACCCTCTTCTGCATCCACCCGATACCTTCCGGTCCAACCCAAGCACACAACATATCACACATACCATGCTATGTACATTGGGTTCCCAAGTCATTAGCATCATACTCCCACATTGAACAGCATACAGCATAAAAATTCGTGTCTTGTTCTCTTATGTAGAGAAGCTCAAACCTCTCGTCTGCTTGCAGGAACCGAAGCAGTTCTATGTGGAAGCCACCTCGGCTAGAGCGGAACTACCGTAGGTTGAATAGGATATATGGTATCTAGACTAGTTACATATAAGAACTACCCAGGCATGGTACCCCCCCTCCCTCCCCCTTTCCCCCGCATAAGACTCCCCCCACACCCCCCTTCCCCTGCCCCTTACCCCACACCCTATGTTGGCCCTCCTCCTTCATCCCCCTGCGGCTACCTTCCCACAAGACCCACCCACCTCACCTCAGCAACGCCCTGCATAGGGCACGCACATGCCACGCCAAGCACATGACCTGTGCCTCGGCGCATGCTAAGCATAGGGTTGCTAATGACAGGGCTTGTACTTCGGGGCATGCTAACCGCAGGCCTTGCCTCTCAAGGCATGCCGATTTCAGGATGCGTATGCATTGGGGACACCGGTACAGAACTTGTGCGTTAGAGAACATACTACAGGGTGTATGTATGCATCAGAGCGCTAACTACAGGGAGTATGCATCAAACCACTAATGAGAGGGCTTTTGATCAGAGAAGTGACTACAGGGCGTATACATCACAGCACATTCTACAAGGCTTGTGCATAAAACCACTAGCGACAGGGCTTTGCATCAACGAGCTTCAGAGAGCACTTTCTACAGCGGTATTGGACTATTGGAAGATGTTGCACACTCGTTCCTTCTGCTATGTACCCGTAGAAACAAAACAGACTCCCTGTAATGCCAAAACACGAAGCAAGCAAACGTACGGTAACCTCCCGACATTTCTGACGGAACAAACAGCTGAGCCTTCCATGTTCAGTTGAGTCACCTACGAGACCTCGAACGCTTGGTACTTGAACGAACCACCTCTTCTTCCTCATCCTCATCTTCCTCATCCTCCTCTTCCTCTTCCTCTTCCTCTTCTTCATCAGCTGTCTTCTCTTCTTCCTCATCACTCTCATCCCATTCCTTTGCTTTGCCTTTTGTCTTCCCTCTACCTCCACCCCTACCTGCTCCACCCCCACTCCTCCCTCCACCTCTCCCCTTTCCCTTCCCCTTGTTCCCTTTTTCCGCCCCACCCTTCCCTCCACTCTCTGACACCCCACCCTCCACCTGCAATTCAACGCCACCCCTCGCTCTATCCACCGTCGTACAAGCAGCAAGCACTGGCTGTCCACCCTGCATGCGCCGTCCCTTCACCATCCCCCCATCTGCCTCTTGTGCCCGAATCACCACTCCCTTTCCTCCTCCCCTCCCTCCCTTCCCGCCCGCTCTCTTCCCCACCCTAGCGGCAACAGCCAGAGCAGCAGACTCCACAAGTGCTGTCATCAATGCCTCATCTTCCTCATCCTCCCCAGCTTTCCCCTTCCCCTTCCCCCTCCCCTTCCCCTTCCCATTCCCCTTTGCATTCCCCTGGGCCTTCTCATTCCCCAGAGCATGCCCCTTCCCTCTGCCTTTACCCCATATGTCCGCATTGAACATTCGAATCGTGCCTCTGTTGCCCAACACTGCTTGCTGCTGCCCTGCGCTCCCTGTGCCCCCGTATCCTTGTTGAGATGCTTCCCCTGTTGCCTCCCCTTCGCCCTCCTCTGCATCTTCAGGTACTGTCCACAGGTAGACAGACCTGAGGCACCAATGTTGCATATGGGGCATAAGGAGGAGTGTGTGCAGGACAGAGGAGAGCAGTGAAGGCAGGCTGAGAAAAACCACACATGATTGATGCACAGAAACAGGCATCAATCCAGACCAGTGACACACCATAACTTCATCATTCCCTGTCTGTCTGTGACTTAACCGTATCTTCATGAATCACACCCCCCTCTGTTCCCTACCTCCTCAGCACTCACCCCTCCACCCACAGTTTTCACGTCCCTTTATTGCTTTACTCCCCCTCCCCCTCCCCTCCCCTTCCCCTCCGCTTTCTCACCTGGAGCTGCCGGTAGCGAGGAGGTCGCAGCGGGGGTGCGGCAGGTTGACGGGGGAGATGGTGGTGAGGTGGGGGTCCACAGCGGAGCTCAGCAGCGCACCCGAGGAGACCTTTCACTCGACTAAAACACCCTCACACAAACCAGCAAGCTCATCACCTGGAGCTGAGAGAGCAAGCCCGTTCCAGCACAGGTCCTGCAGACGCATTCGAGGTGCCTCACAACTCCCTCTCCCCCCCTCCCCCTTCCAAACATAATCACCTGGAGCTGCCGGTAGCGAGGAGGTCGCAGCGGGGGTGAGGCAGGTTGACGGGGGAGATGGTGGTGAGGTGGGGGTCCACAGCGGAGCCCAGCAGCGCACCCGAGGAGGCGTCCAGGAAGTCAATGGGGTGCAACGCCACTCCGCTGTAGTCGTCGCTTATGTACCGCCCACACACCACCACGCGCTCCGCATCGTCCTGTGAAGGGGAGAAGAGAAAGCGGGGAGAATGGCAGGAGGATGGAAAAGAGGGGCAGAGGGGGAGAGAAGGACCGGACGAAGGGCAACAGCAAGAGAGATGGGTAGAAAGGTGGAAAGACGATGAGTTAAAAGAAACAAACGAGAAACAATTCCGCGTTGCAGGAGAGGTGAGGTGAGGAAAACCAGCAGCGAGCGCAGGTAAATGGTGTTTGAGGAGAGAGAGGAAAGTAACTACCGCAAAGATCAATGAGAGGACCATTTGAGGAAATGCAGAGACCTTGGGGTCCCAGTGGGCTTTGAAGGGCGAGAGGTAGCGGTTGAAGTCATGCGAGTGCACGATGGTGGTGGTGGGGCGCTGCAGGTCGCCGAACACACTGTCCCACACTCGCAACCTGTTGTCCTGACACGTGCTCAGGATCCAAGTGCCCGTGATCTGACACAGTCGGATGCACCACATCCACACGGCATGCCACGGGCAATGGAAGAGTGAGCAGAAGGATTGAAGAGGGTATTCATTGGCAGTAACATAGATAAAAGAGAATAGGATAGCACCGTAAGTGGAAGTCAGAGACAGAGAGTGGAAGTCAGAGACGTTGAGTGGCAGTCACAATGACGCTTGAGCAGTCTTACAGGAGAAAAGTAGGCACTGTTGACCACGCGGGGGTGCTGTATGGAGGCAATGCGGTGCTGTGGAGACAGCTGCCTCACGTCCCACAGATGCATCTGGCGGGAGGCATTCACGGGCGCACAGGTTGGCGCGAGGACAGGGTTGTGATGGGCCGCTGCACCACTAGAGAAGGAAATGTCTTGTGCAGATTAGATGAACCCAGAAAACAACAACAACAGCAGCAGTAGGAGCAGAGCAGGATGCCCAGCAGCAGCATGGTGTGCAGCAGCAGTGTCGCACCCAGTGGTCGGAGCCAGCGGAGAGCAGCAGGTGCGGGTCAGCGGGGTTGAGGTGCAGCGACACCACCTTGCTGCGCGCCGCATGGCACCCCGCCACGCCCGCTGCCACGCGCTCCTCCACCCGCTCGTCCAGCCTGACGGCGGAAAGGGTGAGAGGGGCGGGGAGGAGGGGAGAGAGTGGATGGGTTGGTGGAAAGCGTGTCAAGAGGGCACCCCGCCACTCCCGCTGCCACGCGCTCCTCCACTCACTGTGGGACAGGCAGGGGGGCGCAGGCAGGGGGGCGCAGGCAGGGGGGCGCAGGCAGGGGGGCGCAGGCAGGGGGGCGCAGGCAGGGGGGCGGGCAGAGGGTGGTTGAAGAGACGGGAGAGTGGCGACAGGGCGACAGGTGATGGGGCGGGGGATGGAGCGGCTATGATGCACGTGTGTGTGGGTCGTCAGAGTGATCCTTATGTACATAACCAAGCTAACACCCACGTGCAAGTGCACTCACAGGTGGATGCAGCCGAGATTATCCCCAGCCACGACCAGGGCACCACCGTCACGTGCAGGAGCGTCCATGGCATAGAAACTCCCCCAGGTGCGCTTGCAGTCACTACTAGGCCAACTCAAACATCCAGCACGCCCACTCACAAGTGAATGCAGCCAAAGTTGTCCCCAGCAACTAAGGTAGCACCACCGTCACGAGCAGGGGCGTCCATGGCATAGAAGCTCCCCCAGGTGCGCTGGTCGCCCTGCCAGCCCAGCGGGTTGAGGTTCGCCAGCACGGTGGCCTGGGCTGTGTCTATGTCCACCCGACACACCTTGCCGTCCAGTGACGAGGATAACACCACCTCGTCGCATGTTGGGCGGTGCCTGCGAGGGGGGATGTTGGGAGGGAGAAAAGGTTGAGGAGGGAAGAAGCGGAGTGGAGGTTCTGTGAGAGGAGGTGAAGGGGAGAAAGTAAGGGAGCGGGGTAAAGGAGTTGTGGGAGTAAGAGCGGGAAGAAAGGAGGAGGGAGGATGGGGGGGATGAGAAAAAAGAAGAGGCGTGGGGTGTCAGGGTGGTGAGGAGTGTCGGGAAAGATGTGTGAGCGGAGACGTAAGGAAAATCCCACCTGAGAGCGCTGATCTGGTACTGGTGCACGCTCTGATGCACCGTGGTGTCCCTCTCCCTCTCGTAGTTCCACAGCCCTATGTGCCCCCTCTGCTCCCCCCCCGCCCCACACACACGCCGCATTGCCATTCCAGCAGGGAATGGGTGGCCAAGGTTAAGATCGTAAAAGAGAAAGACACAGAGACGAGAGGTGCGTGGAGGAGAGGTGGAAGGGGGAAGGGGCGGAAGAATAGGTAAAGGTGCGTTGACTCTGGTATTGACTTCACTCAGCGCGCACCTTGTCCCCGGACAGTAGCACGTCGTCCCTAACAGCATGGAACTCCAGCACTGTGATGCGCCGCATGTGCAGCGCTATGACTGCCGCCTCCACCACACTCGGCAACACCCGCCTGTGCCGTGCTACCTGCGAGCCAGCGAGGGGATGGGGGAGTGGGACCGCGGAATGTGGAATGTGGGCTGAGGATGATGATGAAGAGCAAGGAAGAAACGAGACAATACGAGAAGAGACCAACTGAGATGAGAGGAGTACGAGAGCTTACCCTTGGCAGCGTGCCCGTGATCTGGCGCTGCTGCACCGTGTGCAGCACCCCCTCGTGCGTGCGCCCCCCCTGCACTGCCACACTGCCACCCTCCGCTCCCACGCGGTGTGGACACGTGGCCGTCGTGTGCCCTGCATCAGGTTTACATAGGGTTTCCCATACGTTTGAATTGGATGGAAAGAAGAGGGGATGGAATGATGCCATCCGAAAAAAAAGCCCCAAACCAATTAGGGCAAGACGGAGAGAGGAAGGAGCGTGAGGGAGCACCTGGGAGCTTGCAGAGGAAGCAGGGTCGGTTGGGACAGTCAATGTAGACAGAGCCAACGAAGCCTGCCTCGTGGCCCTTGCTGCCACACACCTGCCATCATGCCTCGCCCGATAACGACCGCAGGAGCAGGGGCAGCAGGAACAGGGAAGTCAAGAAAACCACATGAGATGAGATGCACGAGAGGGAGCCATGGCAAAAAAAGAGCGGTGATAAGGGCAAGGGCAACGCATGCGCTCATTCACCAGAGCAGACAAAGGTACACTTGGGTAGCAAAAGGGCGCTCATTTCCCGTCCAAATCTATCCTCCACGTACCCTGCACACGCCAGAAGCCTTGCCCTTGAGATTCAGCTTGATCCGCGACGATTTCCCTTTCCTACCTCCCCCTCCTTCCGCCTCCTCCGCTTCTTCCCCCGCCATGCCACGCGTCGACGCCCCTTCCGCCGCTCCCCCGCCGCCTCTGCTGCGACCGCCACGTCGCTCCGCCTTCCCCCGAACCGCATCTTCTTCCTCCGCGTCGCCCTCCTCCTCCTCATCCTCAGATTCGTCAGACCTACTACCGCCACGAACGCGGCCGTTAGTTCCATCCGTTAGGCGAACCCCGTTCGTCGCCGGCCTACTAGGCACCTCGTAATCACCGTCGCCGTCGCCATCGCCATATTCCTCCTCGTCCTCCCCCTCTTCCTCCTCCGACGTGCTCTGCTCGTCCTCCTCCGCCTCCCTCTCTATCACCACCTGCCGGATCTGGCGGCGCGTGCGGCGCATGGCGTGCGACGGAGCGGAAGCTAACACGAGGAAGAAAGAGCAAAAAGCTAACAGTTGGTCAATGCAGCGAGGCCACGAGAATCGCGCGAATCATTGATCGGAAACTAGGATTTTTGTTTCGGTGGTGATGCCTGGGTTTCTGTGGTTCCTCCAACCAAGTCGTCTTGCGCACGCTACTTCGCCCGAGACGAAAGCTTTCGAAAAACGATGTAACCAAGGTCGTCCAAGATTGTACTTTCGCGAAGGCAGCCCATCAAGGAGAGCAGCGTGGCGTTCGCACAGCGAACCACGTTTCGGTTTCGGCATGTGGATGTCAGATTTGAGCGGGAAGGTCAAGTTATCAAATAGTGCGATAGGATGTCTTGCACAACAAGAAGTACGGTAGAGCAATTGCTCAAGTGCACAAACGTCCCCTAATATGCTATTTGAGAAACTCAATGGAACCCCTATCCAACCAGCATCCCTAACCAGCTGCACAGGATGAATAATACAAATAATATTACCAAACCAGACACCCAAATATAATTCCCTCTTCATCCAAGCCACCAGTGACCAGTCCCTTTGTCTGTGGACCATTCTGCCCATTAATACTTCAGCAATGCCTCTCCAACCTGACCTGCTAGCAAGTCAGCAACCTTGGATGCTAGCCCTCCAGCCCAAGCTCCAAGAGGGGCCAACTGGTATCTTCAGCCCACATAGCCAAGCCAGGCTGCTTTCTTTAATTTACACGCCATTCATGCACCCCTATCCTATCCCCACAAACCTCAAACCAAGAAACCTCTACCCTATTCCCCAATAACCTCACCCGAACCCCCACAAACCACACCCCGCTCTCCCCAATCCCCAACGCCACACCCCTCCCTCCCCCTACCGCAGTCGCTTGAGCAGCAGCTGCAGGTCCTGGCCTTCAGAGGCCATGGGTTGCGGCCACACAGCACCCAGGGGTGGCCGCACGAGGCGGTACCCATTCTGCAGGTAGAGCTGCAGGGCACCCTCGTTGCGCACGTCACAGTGCAGCGCTGCCGCCCTGCACCCCCACCGCCTCGCCTGCGCCTCTGCCTCTGCTAACAGCCTGCCCGCCACGCCCCGCCTCCTGCGCACTGCCCTCACTGCCATGTTGCTTATGTATGCTATGCCCGTCCTGTGAGAGCGGAGCGCAACGTACGGGCATAGAGGAAGGGTTGGGGGGGGGTGGGGGGGGGGGGAGGGGAGGGGAGAGGAAGAGTAGGAGGAGGAGGAAATGGAGGGAGGGAGGGAGGGAGGGAGGGAGCACAGGGGTTGAACTTTCTTTGGTTGAGTGAGGGAGGCGAGCACTCTGACAATGGCAGCAGCAGTGGCATTCACGGCACAATAGCCATCAACGACACTCAAATCTCTCTTGCCAGGCCATGCCACGCCATGGTTCACCTCCCCACTCGATCAACCTCATCGCACCAAGACCCCAACAAACCAATCCCAAACCAATAACCCGCCTACTCATGCTCCCCACTCTCGTTTCCTCCCTCTCCTCCGCTCCCCTCCCACCCTCCCTCTTTCCGTTGCACGCCACCCCACACCCACTGACCGGCGCCGGTTGTGTGGCTTGCGGCGGGGCAGGAACTCCCCAGCCGTGTCAACAGTGACAGACCCCACGAGCCCCCTGGGCCCCACGTTGAGTCCGGAGAAGGTCCAGGAGAGCAGGGGCGGGCCCAGCAGCATGGTCGCCAGCACGGGGCGGAACATTGGCCCGCCGAACAGATCCCGCTCGCCGTCAAAGTCCTTGATTGCTGCTGACGCCACGTGCTCCGGGGGGAGCGAGCGGGCTTTGGTCATCGGTGCGATTGTGGTGGAGGTGGTGGTGGTGGTGGTGGGGGTGGATGGGGAGGAAGAAGAAGCGGAAGAGGCCGAGGAGTCAGAGGAGGCGGAGGAAGGAGGGAGGGATTGGAGGAAAGCTGGCGAGTCAAAGGCCACTAGGCACTTCTTGTACGTGCCACGTGGCATGCTGAGGTTGGCCAGGATCGCCGAGACCCTAGAGAGGGGAATTGCATTGGAGAGGGGCAGAAGGAAATTTTGCGGCAGGGCATGAGGTGAAGGGAGTGAGAGCCAGCGAAACTGCAGAAGACGACAGGGGAAGTAGGGAAATGGAGAGGCGGCAATGGGGGGGACGAGGGGAGGGAAGAGGGCAAAAGGGGGCTAGGGAGGTGTGGGTAAGGAAAACGGCGAAAGTGGGAGGGAGGAAGGGGTGCAGGTGATAGGGCGCGTGTGTGTAGGGGAGGAAGCAGAACGCATTCGCTACCTGTCCATTCGCAGAATATAATTAAGGGGGAATGGCGCGTGCGGGAAGAACGCAGCGCAGTGCACGTCAGCAGCCTCCCAGTACTCCTCGGGCCGCGCCTCTCGCACCACTAGCGCCTCCGCGTCTCTCTCCAGAAACCCGTTCATCCGCAGCGCGCGCTCGCGCAATTGCTCTTCCCGCAGCCTTTGCGCGCTCTCCCTGTCCGCTTCCCCGCGGAAAACCCGCCGGGCCGGCACCACGCCGGTAACCGTCGCGGACGTTTCAGCGAAGTTCGTCGCGGCCTCGCCATTGGCGGCAACGGTTCCCGGCCGGCGATGGCGAGACGATGAGCCAACCGCGCTTCCCGCGCTGCCGTCGGCCCGTCGGTCTGATCCCCACGCTGCGCGGATTGACGTGCGCCTCGGCGCTCTTAAGCAACGAGCGCGAGAAGGCTGGGCGGAACGGGAGAGGGCATCAGCGCGGGGAGAATCTAGGGAACGGGGGGAGTGGAGGGCGGAGAGCGAGGAGAGGGCGGAAATGGAGGAGAAGGAGGAGAGGTGGCCTGGCGAGAGCGTGTGACGACTTTGTAATTTCGGAGTCGGCAAGGAGCGCAGATGAGAGCTCGGTGATAAGCGGTGCGGCGGGGCGACAGGGAGTGGAGGGCGCGTGAGCTTGACGGCAGGTGGAGCTGCCATTGCGGGGGAACGGGGAAGGGGAAAAGGAATGGCGGAAGAGCGGAGTCTCTAGGGCCGTTGATCGAGGAAAGGATCGCACGGCGGAGACGCAAAGAGGATCAGGCCACTCGTACTGGGGGAGAACAACATAGATGAACTGGAGGGACGGTGAATTGCTGTGCCCAAGGGAGCCTGGTGTACGGAACGTAAGAGCACCACCAGCTTGTCAATCGGCCACACCTGGTTCCTCCCTGATCTCTGCGATTTTGCAGCTCTACACTTGCTTTGCACTTGCCAGCTTTCCTCCCACGCGCATGGACCTGCCTCACTCTCACTCCCAGTCGGTACTCCCAAGGTGGTGGGCTAGAGAGGGAAGGGAGGGCTGTGTGGTGGGCAATGGTTTGGATTGGGAGAGCTGATCGACTGGTGGTTGTGGTGTAGTCGCGCTGCATGGTTTGGATGAATGCGAAACTGGACGAAGAGCTGCGATTAATAAGTTTCTAGTAAACGAATATATTGCGAAAGTTACGCGAAGGGTTATGAGCTTGTGACACAGAGCGGGTGGAGCAAATCCAACAGGCTTGACGATTCGTGACAAGCGGATTGGACGCGTGGAAGTTGAACCAAACGGACCAATTGGGGAGCAAGAAGGACTTGAGCTTTCTCACACTGTAGGAACTCCCTCGTTATAAAGAAGAAGTTGCGTTGCAGTAGGAACTTGCACATGTAAGGTGAACAATTGTAGCAAAATGCTCCGATCATCAAACCATGTTGATCGAACATTTGAAATCCCAAATCCGAAGACCTGACACCGTCGCCTTTCAACGGAGCATACTCTACTGTTGTTGACACAATAATTTTGGAGCGCGACGGCCGCGATCTAGAGCTTCCGACGGTGTCGACACGTGCACTAGCTTGATTTTCTCATTGCCTTTCGCCGCCTGTGGACAATTTTAACAACGTGTCATGTCCGACCCTCCCAAAGCGAAGCGCGTTCACTTCAGCTCTGGTAATCCTTCCAACCCTCTCCTAACTTAGTCATCCCTATCTAACCCGCCATCCTTCCCTCTTGCGCCCGTCCCGTCTCGTCTTCCAGTCTTGTCAAAGGTGTCTGCTTCAAAGCCGTTCTTCAAGCGCGTGATTCATTGCCTACGCTGCTCCTCCGCGCTCCGATGCACCTGTCTCCCCGCTCCCCCTCCCCTTTCCCCACCACCCCCCACACGCGACTTCCTCTCCGCATCTTCCCCGCAGACGACGGCGATGGCGCGGGGTCCTCCGCGCGCCACGCGCCAGCGCAGGAGCCGCGCAGAGTGGGATGCGGGAAGGGGATAAACTGGCGGGACGGGGACTCGGACGACGAGCGGGAGCGGGAGGCGCAGGCGATGCGCGAGGGGGAGAAGCGGCGGCAAGAGGAGGCGCAGGGGGCGGGCGGAGCGAAGGCGGAAGAGGAGGAAGAGGGGAAGGAACCGCTGGGCGAGTATGAGAGCTACGCGCAAGACTGCATCACCATTCTGCTGGGTAGGGCTGACTGACTGCCCTTTAACCCAAACGCGTTGTTGCCTGCCACGTGTTCCCTATTCTCTCAGTGTGTTGTTCTGGAGCGTCTCAGAGCTTTCCCCGTTCCCTCCCCACCCTCCGCTTGCGCAGTGCGGGGCGTGGAGGACGTGGAGAGGGAGGAGCGCGGCGAGGGCAGTGTGAAGTGCTGCCCGGAGTACGTGCACCAGATGCTCGGGGACGATGGCATCGTGTACGGTTACAAGGACCTGCAGGTGTGTAAGGGCATGCCATGGGATGTAACATGGGATGGGATGTGTGCATGAGATGTGCATTTGGCGTGTGCGTGGCCAATTGTCGCGTATTATTGCTGTGCAGCCACCCTGCCATGCCATGCCATGCTTAGTCTACCAAGCAACTCCATCCCTCATGCCCGCACGTGATGCATGAGCAGGTGGACATCTGGATGCATGCATCCACGTTCCTCACCTTTATCGACATCTCCTACTCGCATGAATTGCCCAAGGTACGCCCACCCACCCACCATCTCCGCCACCTATTCGATCTCCACCTCCTGTTCGCGCTTGAGATCCTCATTCTTCCTCCCACAGCTGTCCTCCTGCTCGTCGCTCGTCCCTCGCTGCCTCCCTGTTCTTTCCTCGCTTCGTAAACCCTTCGCGTGCGCTCCCTCATGCTCTTTCTTCCAACCTATTCTCCTTGCTGCGTCCTCTTACTGTCCTTTGTCTGCGTGTGTGTGTATTCACGATGTTTGTGGGGGATGGGGAGGGTTTGTGTGTGTGTGTGCATGTGCGGCCATGGGAAGCAGACAAAGAAGAAGGCGAAGAAGCAGGCGAGCGATCACAGGGAGCCTCACGACATTCATGCCATTTTCAAGGCACGCCGCCTTTGCCCTATCTCCCTCCCTCCCTCCCTCCCTCCCTCCCTCACTCCCTCCCTCCCTCCCTCCCTCCCTCCCTCCCTCCCTCCCTCCCTCCCTCCCTCCCTCCCTCCCTCCCTCCCTCCCTCCCTCCCTCCCTCCCTCCCTCCCTCCCTCCCTCCCTCCCTCCCTCCCTCCCTCCCTCCCTCCCTCCCTCCCTCCCTCCCTCCCTCCCTCCCTCCCTCCCTCCCTCCCTCCCTCCCTCCCTCCCTCCCGCCCGCCCTCCCTCCTCTCTTTCTCTTGCCCTGAGCCTTCAACAGCCCTTGACCTCGCATCTAGGCATGTTCCTTAGGTCGTAGAGTGACGTGACCCCTTTTTACAGCCCAGCATTGACCCTTTTCAACAATTGTGTAGCTTGCGTCGCATGTATTGTCTATGTGTGCTGTCACGGTGTCACCCATTGGCTACCGTGGGTCCTGGCCTGGCCCTCTTGTCTCGGTTGCTTGTTATGATTCCCCGTGTAGGTTGATGAACATAATTCCCCACACCACACCACGCTACACAACACCGCAACACACCGCATTGCACCACTCCACACCACGTGCGTGCAGTCGCTCTTCCCCCAGGGCTTCACGACGTCACGGGAGGAGTTCGTTGCAGCCCTTCCTCTCCAACCCCAGCTCTTCCAGTGAGCTCCACCCCTCCCTCCCTCCTCCACCCTTGCGTGCTTCCCTCGCTTTCTCGCCCCTCCATCTTGCCAGTTCACACTTTCCCCTTCCTCGTTCACCCCCACCACCACTATGCACCTTGAGCCACCTTCCAAGCCCACCTGGATGTAGTTTCATGGATAATACTCCACCATCCACACCGCAGGGACATGGTGTCAAAACACGCAACAGTGGAGCAGCCATGGCAGCAGGTGCAGCGGAAGGGCAGCAGGGGTGAGAGCACAGAAGATGGGAAGGAGGGAAGTGAAGCAGGGGCAAAAGCAGCAGATGATGGTGACAAAGGTGGTGGCGTTGCTGACGATGCACAAGCAGCTGCTGAGTGTGAGGTGAGTTCTGTTGGGCTCAGTATGCCTCAAAATTCTGCATTATGCTGCTGGTGGTTCTGTTGAGTGTGGGTTCAGTTGCGGCTGTATATGGTCCAGACACACGGCGTGGACCTGTCTGCGTGTAGAGTTTGTCCCTTATATAGTGCATGTGTCTTAGTGCAAAAAGACAAACCACGGTCCGTGTACAAAGCCTCATGCTCCAATCTCATCTCATCCCATCCCATCTCATCCCATCCCATCCCATCCCATCACACCGCACCCAATCCCATGCATGCATGCAGGTGGTCCCAACCATGGACCTATCGCAGCAGTGTGTGCGGGACTGGCATGCGCGCATGCAGCCACTCGTCAGGTTCTTCATAGACAGTAAACACTGACGACCACCTGCCTACCTCTCCTGCATCTTTCAATCGATTCCTACTCTATAGGTTCTCAGCTTCTCATCTCATGCCGTTTGCTAGAATTTCTCATGCCATTCGAATGCATCCCTTTCTGTGCTTGTTTAGCTTTGTCCGTCCCACTTCTGTTTGGACTTGCCTGCAAGTTCCGTTCTTGGCCTGTTCTGACCCTCTTTGCATACCATCACTCGCCCCACTTTCCCCTTCTCATTCTATTGGTGTTGCTTCTGTCACCTGCTTTCACACTCTCGCCCTCGTTCCCCAGGCGTCTCCCACCTTCACCAATACCTTCGCCTCACGTTCCCACCCACGCCCACCTTGCGCACCCCCCACGCCCAACAACCCTCCCCTCTCCCGCCCTCCCCGCTTGCTCGCCCCGCCGTGCCCATCAGACGGTCAGCCTATTGACAGCACGGACCCTCTCTGGACGCTCTCAGTCGTTCTGCAACGCCCCGCTGCCCCTTCCTCTTCCTCTCCTCCTTCCGCCACTGCTGCTGCTGCATCTGCTCCCTCTGCTGCCTCTGGTGCAAAGGAGGGTGCAGCAGCATCAGCGAAGGGAGAGGAGGAGGTGGTGGTGGTGGGGTTTTGTACTATCTACTCCTTCTACCACCATCCCAACAGCACGCGGCTTCGACTCAGCCAGGTACTGCTGCTGCTGCTGCTGCTGCTGCTGGTCCCAGGGGGGGAAGAAGCATGTTGCCAAGGCTGTGGACGGGTGGATGGTTAAGGGTGGAGGGTGCAGGGTGGAGGCTCTGGACTGTGAAGGGTGGCGGAATGGACTTGCAGCAATAACCAGTGCTGTTCCAACGGCCTCCTTGTTTCCTCCTTAATCAAATTATTTTATTCCCTAATATTTTCTTCCCTTACCCTCCTTCCCTCTCGCTTCCCCCCCACACAAACCTCTCCCTGTTCTCGCTTCCCCCCTCTTGCCTGCACACCACAACCGCGCATCCCACTCCGCAGATCCTAGTGCTGCCGCCGTACCAGGCCATGGGGCACGGGTCGCAGCTGTTGAACCAAGTGCACGCCATGGCATGCCGCGTGCATGCATACGACATCACAGTGGAAGACCCTTCAGACGACCTGCAGCAGCTGAGGGAGGCCCTTGACTGCATGCGCCTGCTCTCCCTGCCCTCTGCTGCTGCTGCCGTGCAGTCCGCTGTTTCGCGGGTCACTGGGTTTGTGAGCGCTCGCTTGCCCACCACTGCTGCTCCCCCTGCTGCTGGTGATGGTGCTGCTGGTGATTGTGCTGGTGCTGGTGGCGATGGTGGTGGAGGGGTTGAGGGAGGGGAGGGGAAGGGGAGCAAGGAAGGCGAGCAGGGGTCGGATGAGAAGAAGCAAGAGGAAGGAAGAGGGAGTGCTGCAGAGGCAGGAGGAACAAAGGGTGGAGATGGAGGTAACGGCGAGGACGGTGAGAAGGGCGGGGCGGAGGAGAAGGAGAAGGGGGAGGTAGGCAGTGACGAGGAGGAGAGCAGCGAGGCGATCACAGCAATGGAGTCCCTTCTGGTGCTGCCCCACAGCATGGCAGAAGATGCACGGGAGAAGCTGCACCTGAACAGGAAGCAGGTGGAGCGGTGCTGGGAGGTGCTGCTCTTCCTGCACCTGCCCTCCATGGGTAGCGCTGGCAGACGCGCGTGGAAACGGCTGGTTACCAGCCGGGTTAAACTGGAAGAGCTGGGAGTGAAGGGCGCGCAGGGGCGGGGGCGGGACCGGGGTGTGAAGAGGGTGAGAGGGCAGGAGAGCAGTGAGGGGGATGGGAATGGGGAGGCGGGTGCAGGTGGTGGTGGTGAGGGGCGGAGCAGGAGGAAGAGGAGCAGGAGGGGTTGGGAGAAGCGGGTGATAGATCTGCCTGTGGTTGAGAATGACAAGCAGATGTTTGTCATGTACCAGGTTCCAGTGCCTGATGTTGCACTAGAGGAGGGCAAGGAAGAGGGCAAGCGAACGATACTCAGCTCAGCAGGGGAAGTGAAAGGTGGTGAGAATGAGAGGGTGGGTTCAGACCGTGTGCTTGTTGCTGGGGATGGCAGCTCCAGCAGTGTGGAGGTTTTTCGGAGCGTGGAGGAGGATGAGGGTATTAAGAAGGCTCTTTTGGAGCTAGTTGCGGATAGGGAAGAACAGGTGGTGGCTGCTGCAGGGATTGTGCAGAAATTACAGAAGAGAGCGGGGGCGGCAGAAAGTGGTAGGGAAGTTGCAGGAGGAGCAGGTGCTGCTGTGTGACTGTCAGCAATGGAATGGAGTAAGGTTTTTTTCAGGGCTACAAGAAAAAATGGGAGATGGATTTTGTTGGGTTTGGATTCGGAAGCTTGGATTATGAATACACTGGCATGAGCGTTTTTCACAATTTGGCTTGTCAAATGCCTCTGGCTGGGATCTGGATATGGTTTGCATTTGAGTAATGGTTGAGCGAAAGTAATCAGCTAAAGATTCGCCTAAGTGTATTAGCTGCATTTCGGACTGCAGCGAGTTCCGTGAAATAACGAGGCACGAGTGAAAATCCTTGAAATTCCGACGGCGGCAGACGGAACAAACTGCTTCATTACGCCCCCAACCAACCAAGCCCACGCTCTGATGGATGCGACGTGGGCGAGTGTACACTGTACACGCGGGACTTGTGAGATAAGAGGAAGTTCGGTTCGGGACTCTGGTTTGGAGACTTGGTTTGGTTGGGTGATGGACACCGACAGTGCAACTTTGTGAAAGCGGCTGAGGCAAAAGAGCGATGCGGATCTGGCGAGAGAGCGACGGAAAGCAGTCGATCTAACGAGGGTCGCGGCGGCCAGTGTGGCAGGCTGGACGACAAATTGTGGTGGTTGACGTGTCGCAACAGGCTTCGTGACGATCTGTACGAAAGTGCTTCGAAGCCTTTTCGCAGTTTGTCCAAGCAAATGGGCTGGATAAAAACCTTGGGACGAAGTAAAGCGAAAACTCTGTTACCTACCTTTGAAACGAAAGGGCAGTTCCGAACTTTGGCTCGAACAAAATCAATCTGGGTTACAGCTTACAAGCTGGTGTGGACATCTGCCCTAGAGTAACATTTCAGCAACACCTGCCGACAAGCTGTAATTTGGGGCATTGGGCGGTTCGGGAAAGCCACTGTGCCCACGCGAGTCGCGCAGTCGCTGCCTGCGTTTCGATTGACTTCCCAGGAGGACCAAAATCGAGGCAAGGGATTTCCTGCCCTGCCCCGCCCAGCCCAGCTCACCTCGCATAAGTTCAACCCCCCTCAAATCCAGCCCTTTCATCACATCTCACCTCTACTCGCCACGCCTCTACTCCTCGTCGCACCCTCTCATCTCATCTCTTACCTTCTTGACTGCACGTGAACCGCGCTCATGTCCGTACGTGCTAAGATTGGGTGCTCCATCATTTTCGCACTCACCTTTCTTTTCAGGTTTCTGGAGAGTATTATTCTAGCTGCTGGGAACATGACCGGATACGTCGTCACACGAGTGAATTAGCACTCTATTGATGATTGCTCGGTACTACTACAGGCTATGACAGCGTTTAGAAAAGCCATGGCACCACATGCAATGCGGATTTGCGCGGTATAAGTCATGCAGGACGAGAGCGAAACTCAACCTTGCGGCGAAGACGGCGACTCACCGCACACGTCATCCCGCCGTCCGCAATCTCCCAGCGCAAACTCCCCCTCTGTAGGAGATTCCGACGGAGAGCCTACTAACACAACCGACGCAACCAATGCTAATCCACACCTTCAACTACCGCCCATCCCTCCTCGCGAGCCGCCTGATCCGTCCGAACCATCACTATCCGCTGCGGCGGAAGGAACAACGTCTGAGATTACCGACACTACAATTGGTGGTGCGAGATCCACCGCGTACCGCGGCGTGCGGCAGCGGCGCTGGGGTAGATGGGTGACGGAAATTCGGGAGCCGGTGCGTGGCCAACGGATATGGCTCGGATCGTACGACACTGCGGAGGAGGCTGCTCGCGTGTACGACATGGCCGCGCGCCTTTTGCGCGGTCGGTCTGCGCGACTGAATTTTCCCGGACAGCAGGTGCTGCCCGTGGCCTTGCCGCGAGGCACGGCGGAGATTCTGCTCGAGGCGAGTCGCGAGGCGGCTCGTAGGACGCAGCGGAGACAGCAGCAGCGGCAGCAGCAGAGGCGACAGCAACAGCTGCAGCAGCAGACTACGCGGCGGACTCACTCGCCGCCGCTACCGCCGCCAGTGCCTCAGCAGCAGCAGCAGCAGCAGCAGGCGCAGGTGCACCAAATGCAGACAGGACCTAGCTTGGCATCAGCGGCGGCTGCAGACGCAGCAAGTAGAGGCCCTGAATCGCAGATGCTAACATCGTCACCTGGCATGATGATGCCTCAGACACGTGGCGCGGATGTACAAATAGCGGCGGGACGGAGTGGATTACTTGGGGTGGCAGCGACAGCGTCGGGGTCAGAACCTACTATCGGCCCGTCGTCGCAAATACAGGCCTTAACGCGCGTTTCTGCGACACCTGGTAACGCTGGCGATCCGCCGCCCGGTGGACTCTTGACCCGTGCTTCTACCGCCCCCGACGCCACTTACTATCCGTCACTTCCATATGGCTCGCCGCAGCAGCAAGCATTGCGGACATTCCAGGGCGGAAGCACAGCGCCGCAGCTTGCGGATAGCGTTGTAGTTCCTAGGAGCAGCACGAGGACCAGCACTGCTGGTTCCGCTAGTGGCGCCGTGGACATGCACAGCCTCGCTGTGGCTGCTGCAGCCGCTGCCGTGATTCTAAGGCAGGCCGCAGCAGGCACAGGGACGCAGTGCTCCCAGAGAGACATGGACCTTCTGATTGGCGCAATGGGCGCAAGGGCAGCAACGGGCGCAGGCCCGCAAACGATGGGAAGCAGCGGTGGCGGCGGAGGGGTGAGCTCTGGTGGCCGCGAAGCTGCTGGCTTACTGGAGAGCCTGCGAGCCGCGGAGAGGACAGCCAGAGGAGGGGGTGGCGCAGCTGTGGAGACTCCTGGTGGGGAGAATGGCGCAGGAAGGGACATGATGGTGGAAGCAGGGCTATCACAGGAGGGTGAGGAGAGGCGGGAGGGTCAGGGACAGATGGCGCTGGGCGTGAGTGAGATGCGCTGTGAAGTGCGGGGGCAAGAATGGGCAGGAGAGGGGTCTCAGACGGGAGGTGGTGCGAGGACGGCAGTCACAGGAGGAAATGAGCATGCTAGTGGGCAGCAGGGAGCAGGAGCAGGAGCAGTGACTGGGTTTCATGCATATTACGCGCCAGTCGCCATGGCACAACAGGCCCAGCAGACTCGTAGAAGCGGCTCGTTTCAAGAGACTGTATCAGCTGCATGGTCAGGGTCTGCTGGTTCTGACTTGGATGCTGCAATGTGGGAGGGAGGGCACATGGAAGGCGGAGGACAGGCGGGCAGAGATAGGGAGGGGAGTGTGGAGGTGGAAGGTGGTGTGGACACAGAATTGGAGAGGTTTCTCATGGGGATTGTGAGTGGCTCGGGAATGGCGGAAGATGATGGGAGAAGCAGCCTTGCAGGTGGAGATGCTTGAAACGCAACAGCTGGATGAAATGGATGCTAGGAAATATTATATTCAAGGGTTGCTAACTGGTTCATTGATACCGGTAGATATCTAGTCCAACTGCTGGTCTGCCTAACTTTTCCATGAATATCTGGGGTATGCAATTTCATGACTGACAATAATGATACGCGAGATTTCACGTTATCAAACTGTATTTGTTGGTTTTTCTTGTTCCATTCGGGAAGCGGGGCTGACACACCGGACGAGGTGGCTCCAGACTTCACATTCTGGCGAATCACAGGCAGGTCTTGGGATCTGGGGCTTGCGCTAGGCCATCGGAAGGAACCTCACTGGTTGCTCCTCCCCAACTTCCGGAGCAATTGCGCAGGGACAGGCGCACGGAGGGGAATTCGGGCAGAGTATACTTCGCGAAAATAATTCATAAATGTGGTATATTTCCTAGGTTTGTGGACGCCATACATCTGTTGTCCCTGTTAAATGATCACAAGTCACAAAGAAATATGTTGCAGGGAGTGGAAAAAAATGCTCACACAGGTTTGATGCCACTGTCACTTTTATGTGGCCAATTGGCACCCATCCAACCAAACTGCGGCCATAAATTTCCCCCCTGCCCCCAATTCATGCAGTTCGCAGGAAAAATGCTGGTTGCTTGCTGGTGATACATTCATCTGCTCGGGCTACCTGAGCGGCCGCACAGATTCACGCGCGTCGCGCTCGCTCCGCTGTGACTCGATTACGGCACTCGCACACGCGTAGTCAGTACCTGATTTGACTATTACGGGTAGCTCGCCCCACCTGCCGCTATGTTAAGGTGAGCTGCCAGGGAAAGGCGACGACGGGACTGACGGCGCCGTGCACGTCGCCTCCCACGTGCGCGTGTGTATCGCAGCCTCTCCGCTATTCGTTTCCTTTCTCGAAGCCGCATCAATACTAGGTTGTTAAAAACAAGACATTGAAAGGGCCTTGATGCGAAATTCGTGTTTTGTTCCCGCCGCCCACCCCTTTCCCCACTTTTCCTCTCTCCCCCTCTTCCTCCCCCTTTTCGCCTTCCCCCCCGCGCCAATATCTCCGCGGTTCAGCTGGTGGTCTGTTCCTGCCCGCGCCAACCCTCCGGCGCGGGACCCTGCGCCCCCGTCCATTGCGCCTGCAGCGGCTCTGGCGGAAGGTGCTGAGAAGAGCGACCCGTCTCCTAATCAGGTAGCTTTATTTGGAGTCTCTTCCTCAACCACCCCCCGCTCCTTCTCCCCCCGACCAACCTCCCCCTCTCGCTCCAATCGCTCCATCTCTCTGCCTCCCTCGCCTGTGCACACAGCAACACGCATACCCACGTACACACCCTTCCCTTGCACCCATCCATGCACGCACCGACCACCCACCCGTCCATCCACCTCGCCGTCACGCAACCACACGGGCTTGCGGGTGGATGGATGCACGGTATTTGTCAGGTAATGCGATATCTCCTGTAAATTGGATTGGTTTGTGTCGTGTGCGTTTGTGCATGTGTTTATGTGTGAATGTGCATATGTGTGCATGTGGGCATGTGTACATGTGGGTATGTGGGCATGTGTGCATGTGTGCATGTGGGCATATGTGCATGTGCATGTGTGCATGTGTGCATGTGTGCATGTGTGCATGCGTGCATGTGTGCATGTGTGCATGTGTGCATGTGTGCATGTGTGCATGTGTGCATGTGTGCATGTGTGCATGTGTGCATGTGTGCATGTGTGCATGTGTGCATGTGTGCATGTGTGCATGTGTGCATGTGTGCATGTGTGCATGTGTGCATGTGTGCATGTGTGCATGTGTGCATGTGTGCATGTGTGCATGTGTGCATGTGTGCATGTGTGCATGTGTGCATGTGTGCATGTGTGCATGTGTACATGTGGGCATGTGTGCATGTGTGCATGTGGGCATGTGTGCATGTGTGCATGTGGGCATGTGTGCGTGGGAATGCATGCATCATCAGAATGACGCTCTAGATTCGACCCCTGCAGTCGAGCAAGTGGCAGCAGGCGCAGTGACCACTGACCCACCACCACCACCACCACCACCAGCAGCAGCACCACCAGTTGGTGTGGGGGCGGAAGAGAAGCAAGACGCGGCCAAGGAAGGCGGAGACACAGACAATGCCCCCACCATCCCGCCCCCCAAAGGTTAATCCCTGTCCATCCCCCTCTGATTCATTCCTCTCATCCCTCATCCCCCCGCATGTCCGCTCTCTTCATATCCTGTTGTCCCTCTGCCATCCCTCGCATCCCTTCGCTATCTCTCTCTCCCTTGTCGCCCGTGTGTGCTCTTGTCCATGAGGCTCCCTGCATGTCATGCTGCAACAACTCGTGTTTCTTCTCCTCTTTCAATTGTTTCCCGCTCTCTTCAACCGCACTGCTCTAGATCCCCACTCCTCTCCCTCCTCCCCCATTCCCCACACCCCTGCGTCCCCTGCAGCAGCAGCAGACGCCCCGCCCCCGTCTGCTGCTCGCCAATCCCCTCTCCGCTGGTCCCTCCCAGGCACTGCCCCTCCCCCCTCTTTCTCTCTCGCCTCCTCCACTCCCCCCTCATCTGCTCCCCCTTCCTCCTCTCTCCCTGCCTCCTCAACCCCTTCGTCCACTCATGAAATGGTAGCCACCGCTGCTCCTACCGCTCCTCCCACCACTGCACCCCCCGCTGCTTCCGCCACTGTTCCTACCGCCGCTGCTGCGGCTACTGCCGCTGCTGCTACAGGGTCTACCTCGCAGTCCTCTGACCATGTGGTGCTCGCTGTGTCCTCCGCACAGCCAGCTATCTCCCCACGTGCTGCTCACACTGCCGATACTACTACTGATGCCGATGCTGCTGCTGGTGCTGGCGTTGCTGGTGCTGGTGGTGCGGGTGCGGGCAGCGGTGGAGATCTGCGTGTAGAGGCGGATCCAGAAGCGCAGGACTCGCTGCGACAGCCTCTGCTGCAAGGTGAGCCGCACCCAACCTATGATGCGAGGCAGGAAACCCTGTGACAGCGCGCATGCCGTTTCCTGCTCTCTGCTGCTTCCTGCCGCTTGTACAGGCCCTTGTGTTGCTCAGCTCAGCATGATGCTCGTTGCGTCTGCGTGGCACTGGTCATTTTTCCCCACCCCAACAGCTCGCACCACATCAGAGGCTCAGCAGGCAGAGCAGCAGGAGCAGCAGGATGAGGAGGAGGAGCAGAACGAGTTGCAGCGGTGGGCGGCGGCAGTGGGGTGGGGCGAGATGATGGGCGCGTACTCTGTACTGCACACAGACGACAACACCGACCTGCACCTCTTCTCCCTGCACGTCACACGCGGCCTCGCCATCCTGGTAGTGTACCATACCACCACCTGCAGTGCATGCTGCTGTGCCTCACTGCTCTCTCACCATCGCCACCATCCTGCTGCATCCATTTACCAGCACTGTGAAACATTTCCATCATTCGCTATGACGCTTTGCACCATCCCCCCCCACCCCATGCCTTCCCTCCTCCCTCTCCCCTCGTCCCCTTTGCCTTCTCACTCTTCCCATGCCCAAACTCTAATCACGTCCCTTCCCTGCCAATCCCCACCACCCCCCCCCCCCCCCGCCCCCATGCTCCCAACGGCCCACCCAACACCACCCCTCCCAGGGCCTGCTGCTGTGCGCGTATCGGGGCCCGTCCTTCCCTGCCTTTTGATTCGACTCAAAAATCACCCCACCCTACTCTTCCCCCCCGCCCCCCCCCCCCCCCACCCTCAGGGACTGCTGCTGTGCGCGTATCTGGGCCCGTCCTTCCCTGCCTTTGCGCCCTCGCCCTGGCACGGGTTCTCACTAGCAGACCTGCCGCTGCCGCTGCTGCTCTACACCGTTGGACTCTCCCTCGCCCTCGCTTACACCGTGGGTCACCTGCTCCATGCACCTTTTGAGAATTCTCACATGCCGTGCACCTGCTTGCAACCGCTTTCTCTGCCCATGTCGCTGGTGTTCCTCACATTCCACATGCGTGCTGCACATGACTTCATGTCTTCTGAACGTGAGCCTTTTGTTTCTCCATCAAGAAGCCTTTTTGCTCTTCTATCCTCCCGTCCCTCCCCTCCTCTTCCCTCCCCTCCCCTCCCCTCCCCTCCCCTCCCCTCCCCTCCCCTCCCCTCCCCTCCCCTCCCCTCCCCTCCCCTCCCCTCCCCTCCGTCCCCTCCCATCCCCACCACCCCCCACCACAGCAATTACCAAGCATGCTGGCAGCGAGCAACAAGGTGTACATCCGATTCTGCAAACTCACCCACCACCGCCCTGGTCACCCTGTTCCCCTCACCTCCACGCTCCTTCCCTCCCCCCCATCACAGCAAGTACCCAGCGTGCTGGCAGCGAGCAACAAGGTGTACATCCGATTCTGCAAGATCTTTTACCTGGGATACTTCCTGCAAGGGGGCTTCCTGCACCCCATCGGTGACACCACCTTTGGCGTCTCCCTTGAGAACACCCGCTTCTCTGGCATGCTGCAGGTGCTGTCCATGCATGGGTGCATGACTGTGTGGGTGCATGTGTGCTGGGGTGCATGCATAAATGCATGGGTGTGCATGGGTGTCCCAACCTTATCTCCTCTTCTGGCAACTCTTAACAACCTTCCATGTTTCCATGCAATTTCGCATGCCTATCTCACCACTCCATTTCCTCACCTGTCTACCTCTACACCTGTCCACCTGTCTGCCTGCGCGCCCGTGTGCATGGCAGCAAGTGGCAGCAGCGTTGTTGGTGGTGGGGGTGTCGGAGGTAGCAGTGATGAAGCTGTATCGAGGGGCGCGCCGACCACCAGGCGTGCACCACCACGCACTAGGCTTCCTTATTAACTGGTACGAGCCCTCAATTTGCCTTGCCTGGAAATGACTGTTCTTGAGACGTCTCAGAAACAAACTTCTTTCACATGCCGGCCACCAGGCGTGTACCACCACGCACTAGGCTTCCTTATCAACTGGTACGTGCCCACGTCCTGGCCTCACCTGTTTGCTGCTCCCGCTGCCACCCTTCACTGTTCGTTGCACCCTGCTCACCATCGGGGAATGATGGTGCAGCGTATGAGCGGGCGGTGCAGCGTATGATTCTGCTCTACCCACCCACTACTGCTCTCCCCTCCTCTTCCCTTTCTACCACCGGCCTCCATTCTCTCTTTACCATTTTCTTCCGTCCTTACGGCCCCCATCCCCTTCCCCTCCCCCCAGGTGTGTAGCGCTGCTGCTGGTGCTGTTATACGCGTCCCTCTCCTACCTCCTCCTCGTGCCCTCCTACACTCTCTCCTCCACCACGAGTCTCCAAACCAACACCACTGTCATCGCCACCAGTACCTCCGCGTCGCATCTCACGTCGCTGCATCAGGAGGGTGTGTGGGAGGGCGCAGGGGGCCAGTGGAGAGCGCTGCAGGGCGGCATGGAGGATGGTGCTGGTGGTGGTAGCACGGGAGTGCACGTGCACGTGAGTAAATTCACACTAAATTAGCGCTGGGCTCGCAGTGGAATTTCAGTTCACAGTGGATGCGTTTTCAGAGTTGCCATGGAACTTGTGGGCATGGCGGTGCCTGTAACGCTGTGGTGCTGCCTGTAACCCATTGTTTCTGCACTTACGCTCTCCACTCCCTTTGTCAGATGACTCTTCTTTCTCTCGCTCTGCCCTTTCCTCCCCATGTTCTCACTTTCCCCTCTCTCCTGTCTTCTCCAACCCAACTCCTCCTCCCCAACCACCCATCACCATGTGCAGTGCGGGGTGAGGGGCAGTTTCTCCCCGGCTTGCAATGCAGCGGGGTACATTGACCGTGTGCTCATGGGCCCCTCCCACATGCTCTCCACCGCGCCCTTCCACTCGCTCCCTGTGGGTTCCTCTCACTCCTCCCACTCCTCCCACTCCTTTCACTCCTCCCTCTCCTCCCGCTACTCCCATGTCTCTGTTCTCGCAAGTCCTTTTATGAAACATCAACCCACGCTGTGCCCCATTCACCCGTTAGTTTCCCTCACCTGTTTCCCGTTCCCCATTCCCCTTGCCTCCCTTTCTCCTCTCACCACTCCCCACTTTCCTCCCTCCCCCCCCTCTCCGTGCGATCACAGGAGTGCCAACGCACGTCACCTCCCCCCCCTGCTTGGTGCCAAGCACCCTTCGACCCCCAAGGGATACTCAGGTACATCTGCCCAGGTACATCTGCTCAGGTACATCTGCTCAGGTACATCTGCTCAGGTACATCTGCTCAGGTACATCTGCTCAGGTACACCTGCTCAGGTGCATGTCCCTGCCACATCTCACCCACCTCTCCCATGTCCGTGTGTGCGATGCAGCACGGTGGGGGCGTGTCTGGTGGCGTTTGCAGGGTTGCACCACGGCCACCTGCTCACCTACTTCAATGTGAGCGCTCTCTTTCCCTCCCCCCGTGCACACTGCTTCTCTTGCGCAACCCCCCATCCTCCTCCCCACATCCATGCATACTGTCTTTCGTGCGCAATCCCCCGCTCCCCCGTCCCCACATGCATGCACGCTGCATTCCTCGACCACACCTATCCTTGCACACATGCATTGCATTGTTCACCACAATCCCCACTGAGGAAAATTCCTGTTGCATTCCCTTACTCCTCCCTCTGCTTTCCATTCTCCGCCATTTCTCCTCCCTGCGTCCCAATTTCCCTCTCCCTGCACTCTGCCGCTCAGACTCACTCCTGGCCTATATTTGAGCCGCCTCCAAAGTCCTCTTTGCATCTTAATTTCCCTCTCCCTCCACTCTGCCGCTCAGACTCACTCCTGGCGTATCATCCGCTCGCTGCTCTTTGCAACCGGTCTTCTCGCCACAGGAGTGCTGCTCTACATGCCAATGCCGCTACCCGCCTCCTCCCTGCCCTCCTTCCTGCCACATTCTTTTCTCTCAGGTACGTTCCCCTGCCCCCCTACCACTGTCTCTCTCAATCACTCCCTCTCTCCATCTCCTGCCACCACTGCTTCGCGCCTACTTTTCTCGCTTATCCTACCACTCATGCCCTTTTGAGATGTTTCAAAAGTCGTCTACTTTCCTCAATTATCCCACCAATCATGCCTTGCCTGCACACTCTGGCATGCAGGTCCAGCCTAGTGCCATAAATTTCTTACCCTTATCTGCTCGCGCCTGCCTTATTCACCTTTCTCACCTCTCCTCTCCTCACCTCACCTCACCTCACCTCACCTCACCTCACCTCACCTCACCTCACCTCACCTCACCTCACCTCACCTCACCTCACCTCACCTCACCTCACCTCACCTCACCTCACCTCACCTCACCTCACCTCACCTCACCTCACCTCACCTCACCTCACCTCACCTCCCCTCTCCTCCCACGTCGTCACTTCAACACTGCACCCCCTTTCTCGCAGGCATGCCATTCAATCCGCAGCTCTTCACCATCAGCTTTGCAGCCGTCGCTGCTGCAGTTTCCTGCTTCCTCTTCTCCTTCCTCTTCATCCTTGTATGTGCTTTGTCATTCGCTTAGTTGCGGAAGACGTGTCTAGCGTCTTAGACGCGTCTGTCTAGACGCAGCGTCTAAGACACTAGACGCTAGACAGTATAGTAGACGCAGTATTAGACGGAAACCCGGGCAGACCTAAAAAATAGTTCGGGCAGACCAAAAAAACTTTTATGGGGCATGGGGAGGGTGGGGGACATGCACCTATGTCACAATGAGGTGAAATTTTCCTCGTACCAAAGACTTCACAAAAATTTTCACATCTCATTATATATGATTGGGGGGGATTCAAATTTGCTTGGGGGGTTGGTTTATATGGTCGAAATGGGTGGGAGGGGTTCTAATGGCGTGAAATTGAATTTCGCGTTGAAATGACAAATTTCAATTTTGCGCGCGTGATTTTTTTTCGGGCTGCTTGAATTTTTTTCGCCCAAGCGTCTTGCGTCTAAAAGTGTGTCTGCGTCTAGCATCTCGACGCTAGACGCAAGACGCGTATAGCGTCTTCCGCAACTCAGGTTCCCCATCAGGTTCGTCCCCATCAGGTTCGTCCCCATCAGGTTCGTCCCCATCAGGTTCGTCCCCATCAGGTTCGTCCCCATCAGGTTCGTCCCCATCAGGTTCGTCCCCATCAGGTTCGTCCCCATCAGGTTCGTCCCCATCAGGTTCGTCCCCATCAGGTTCGTCCCCATCAGGTTCGTCCCCATCAGGTTCGTCCCCATCAGGTTCGTCCCCATCAGGTTCGTCCCCATCAGGTTCGTCCCCATCAGGTTCGTCCCCATCAGGTTCGTCCCCATCAGGTTCGTCCCCATCAGGTTCGTCCCCATCAGGTTCGTCCCCATCAGGTTCGTCCCCATCAGGTTCGTCCCCATCAGGTTCGTCCCCATCAGGTTCCCCCCCATCAGGTTCGTCCCCATCAGGTTCGTCCCCATCAGGTTCGTCCCCATCAAATCATTCGCTTAGTTGCGGAAGACGCGTCTAGCGTCTGTCTAGACGCAACGTCTAAGGCGCTAGACGCTAGACAGTATAGATTAGACGCAGTATTAGACGGAAACCCGTGCAGGCCTAAAAAAAAGTTTGGGCAGACCAAAAAAAAGTTCTATGGGGCATGGGGAGGGTTTGGGACATGCACCTATGTCAGAATGAGGTGAAATTTTCCCCTTCCTAAGACTTCACATCTCATCATAAATGATTGGGGGGGATTCAAATTTGCTTGGGGGGCTGGTTAATATGGTTGAAATGGGTGGGAAGGAGTTTTAATGGCGTGAAATTGAATTTCGTGTCAGAAATAACGAATTTCAATTTTGCACGCGTGATTTTTTTTTCCGGGCTGCCCGAATCCCAAGCGTCTTGTGTCTAAAAGTGCGTCTTGCGTCTCGCGTCGAGACGCTGTGTCTAGACGCTAGACGCAAGACGCGTATAGCGTCTTCCGCAACTCAGGTCATTCGTACATGCAAGTTCCCACGTGGCTTGAATGCTTGCACTAGCTTCCACTCCTCTTCCATCGCCCTCTTCCCGAGCAAGCACAACTCTCCACAGGCCACCGATATATTAACTTATCCACACCCTTCCACTATTCAAACCCCTTCCATCCCCTCACTCCACAGACTGACGTGTACACGTCTGCACGCCCGTTCCTCACGCCCATAGCGTGGCTAGGGCGCAACCCTCTCTTTGTGCTCGTGCTGGGTGTGTGCCGTCTGCTGGATCTGCTGCTCTCAGGCTTCTATGTCAACAACGACCCTGCTAGTAACCTGGTGCGCGCCCTATGTTGTGTGGGGAAATTGGAATGGGGGTAAAGGGAAATGGGAACGGTGCTGGTGTTATGTGTGCTCGTGCTGGGTGTGTGCCGCCTCCTGGATCTGCTGCTCACAGGCTTCTATGTCAAAAACGACCCCTCTAGAAACCTGGTGCGTGCCTGGGTTGTGGGGGGGAATTGGAATGAGGGGCATGGGATAAGGGGAATGGAATGGCGCTGTGCGTTGTGTGCTTCGTGTTTTCTGCTGGGCGTGTGTCGCCTGCTGGACTGCTGGACCTGCTACTCACAGGCTTCTATGTCAACAACGACCCCGCCAGTAATCTGGTGCGTGCATGGGCTGTGGGGGATTTGAAATGGGGGAATTGGAAGGAGGGACATGGGTTGAGTGGAATGGGAACGACTCTCGTGTGATGTGTGCTTCGTGTCTTCTGCTGGGCCGCCTCCCACCTGTCCCTTGCCAGTATCCTTGTCTTACATCTGAGGGCTGTGTGCGCATCTGAGGTCTCTGGCTGGGCGCGTGTAGCAGTGAGCCGTTTGCATCAACACTCCTTACTGCCTCCCTCCTACTCCCCCCCTGCTCTCATCACATGTATGAGAGCTCCCTACTCCCTCCTCTTGCCTGTTCTTTGTGATCAACCACCAACCCCAACTCTCCCAGCTCTCACTGTCATGTGCATTTCGGGTTGGTGCACTGGGCAATGGCACTCTTGTTTTGAGTCAACTCAGAACCTGTTCTTGCATGTGCTCCTTCATGACTTCCCTTCCCACCAACCCCAACCCTCTCGCAGCTCTCTCTGCCGTATGCATTTCTGGTTGGTGTATTGGGCAATGGGACTCTCGCCACGGCTGCAGCTGCCGTGCTAGGCTGCATCTTCTGGTGCCTAACTGCAGGGCTCACAGTGCGATACAAGCACATCTGGACCTTCTGATGCTGCCACTGCGCTCACAAGCATCTTGCAGTGCAGAACATGTAGTATTCCTGATCACCTTATCTGTGCATGTGTGTGATGGCTAGGATAGTGGATTGGTTTGTGCATGTTCACCGACACATGATCTCCAAGTACAGTCTATGGTATTATTAGGCACACGTTGTACACGACCTATGCAAACATGGGTTGAGTGTAGTGTCTATTTCTTCACTGCCATTCGAGATGGATGGGAGATGTCGACTGCAATCCAATATGGTCCAACTGGTATCCTAGAGATTAGCCCGCAAGCAATCCTTTCTCTTAAACCCCTCCCAAGGTCGGAACACATGCAGAATGCATAAATAGACCATGCAGAGAAAGAAGCCTACACTACAGTATCTCTCAACGGCATACTCCATCTACAGCATAGAGCTACAGAGCGTTATCTCATCTATAGCCATGCTTCGGCAACCCAAACCTGCTGCCACACACCTACTGATACCTAACCCCTCCCTGCAACAGCCTGCTCCACCACCCCCCATTCTGTATGCAGCTTCACCACCCCGTTGACACTCCCGTCCCATCTCATGTTCACAACTGCTTTCCTGCATCACCTCCATCCCCTGCCTGCTCCAGCAGCACTGTATGCTGCTCACTCCGCTGCTGCTGCTGCTGTTGTGCCTGCTGCTGCTGCTCTTGCTGCTTGCGCTGCTGCTTCTGCCGCAGCTTGCGCCTCAGCCGCCTGGCCTGTCGCTTGAGCATCCACTCGCGGGCCTCCTCCGCGCCCTGCACCTCCCGCCGCATGTCCCGGTACGACTCAAACATGCGCCGCCGCCTCCTCGCTGCGCTGCGGTCCGCGCGGTTGGTGCGCACGTACAGCGCCTGCGCTGCCTCCTCGTTGCCCAGCTGCTGCTCCAACTCCGCTGCCACCTGCGTGCACATCGTGGGACAGTTGAAGAGGGAGGAGTTTGCGACGTCTCAAAAGCCGGTTGGTGCGCACGTACAGCGCCTGCACTGCCTCCTCATTCCCTAGCTGCTGCTCCAACTCCGCTGCCACCTGCATGCACATCGTGGGACAGTTGAAGAGGGAGAGAGGACTTAGCCTCTGCCTCTAGCCTCTGCCTCTGCCCTCTAGCTATATATAGGGCCCTTGGGGTCATTTCTCACTCATTAGTTCGTTTTGGTGCCAGTTTTCTTCGGCGTGGAGAGAGCGAGAGAGAGAGAGAGGACTTAGCCTCTGCCTCTAGCCTCTGCCTCTGCCCTCTAGCTATATATAGGGCCCTTGGGGTCATTTCTCACTCATTAGTTCGTTTTGGTGCCAGTTTTCTTCGGCGTGGAGAGAGCGAGAGAGAGAGAGAGAGGACTTAGCCTCTGCCTCTAGCCTCTGCCTCTGCCCTCTAGCTATATATAGGGCCCTTGGGGTCATTTCTCACTCATTAGTTCGTTTTGGTGCCAGTTTTCTTCGGCGCTCGCGCGGGCGGCCTTCGGCCGCCAGCGCTCGCGTTGCGCGGCCTTCGGCCGCGTGCCTAGGGGTGGCAAGGATTAACAGCAACACAAACAATAAAGCAAACATCACAAGACAGCCATGGGCCGCGCCACTAGCCACTAGATCAAGAAATGCAAATGGTCTACGTGCGGCGGGTGCCCGTCACTACATCTGATGGGCATCCAGCGCCGCAAGGATACCACGCGTGGTCCTCCACAGTTGCTGGACCACTAACGCGGTCGCGCCTAAGGCTTCAATCCCGCCACCAGCCTGGAGGTGTGCGGTCAGACCCTGGACCGTTACGTCCAGTTCAGAAACCGCAACGCCTCCCAACGCGGGCGCTGCCAGCACGGGTAGGAGGAGGAAGGCAAGCTGCGCAGCTGCAGCCTGACAATCAGCTCGCGCCCCACGACCGAGAGTGCTCCCTGGGCTCTGGAGAATGGCGAAATGCGCATTCACCAGAATCAGTGACAGGGCCCGCTGACACTCCGTCAGGCGCCACAGCTGAGCAAGGGTCGCCGTGGGAACTTCAGCCATGCCGGTCGCCAGTGCCGCAGGTGGAACCGGAAGCATGGGTGGAGGCTGCACGGACGGAGCATCAGCAACGCGGCGCGGTGGGACGAACGCCCCTCTCGCCACTCTGCCTCCCGCCCCCACAAATCCCGTGTCCGGGAGAGGGGGAATCCAGGGCAGAGGGGGATAGGGTGCGGCAGAAACAGTACGCGCGGGGACGGGGGGGACACGATGTTCACCAGGAGTCTGAACCTACGGTAGCGCCGAGCCGAGTGGAGCGGGAACACCAAGGGGCGCAGCCGGAGCCTGCGCATTCACTTGCGCCGATGCGTGAGCTGGAGCGGCGGGAGCCTGGGAGCTTCCAAGATTCTGTGCGCCATTCAGAGCATTGCGCATCGCCGCAGCTAGAATCCCCGGGAAATCCTCGCGAAACTGCTGCATCTCGCTCGGCCCACCGCTCCCGCGACCGTGACCTCCCCACCAGCCACCGCGGCCCCCGCGGTGCGCCGATCGATACGACGACGAGGGGCGACGGCGAGGAGAACCGCGCCCCCGATGCGCAGCCGCATTGCCCCCTGCGGCACCGCGTATCTGAGACTCCGCGAGACGCTGCGCGACGGGATGTACCGGCGCAGCTGCAGGGGCCACCTGGAGGGCAGGGTCGGGGCCGGCGCCCGCCGCTGCGTGGGGCCCCCGGCGTCAGCCTGGCCAGCTTGGCCAGTCGGCGGCGCCACAGGCGACGGCTGCGCAACGGGAACCGGCGCGCCGATCGCTGGAACAACGTGGGGAAGGTTTAGCGGGGGAGCCGGCGCCGGCGGGATTAGAGCCGGGGACGTCGCAACAGCGACAGGAGGAGCCGGGGGGGCCAGGGGAGCAGCGGCGGCAGCTTGAGCAGCAACAGGAGCTGGAGACGGGGCAATCGCGCTCTCAGCGGTGTGACCTTGGTCCACCGCTGACTTCTCCAATTCAGTCGCCATCGCGGCGAACGCGCCTGCAGCAGGCGATCGAGGACGCACGGACGCGGCGAGACGGGGGAATAGGCAGTAGCGGAATTCCGCAACTGGCAGCGGCCAGTGCGCGGACTCGAGGGGGCAGAGGCGGAGGTCGCGGACGTGGCAGAAGCACTCGGGAAGGAGGCCCGGAGAACGCGTTCCAGGTGGCGGCAAGGAGGGCGGCAAGGAGGGCTTTAACGGAGTTAGTTAGAACTAATGAAGAAGGTGAATTATCGGGAAGCATTTATGAGGTGGGGGAGGATGAAGCAGACTCACCGTCAAGTTCGAATGCCTCAGGGGAGGCCCAGTCACAAACACCAGCACGGGGGAGAACCAGCTCAACCCAGGCCCGAAGCGCGTCAACAAATTTCAGAAACACCCCCACCCAGGCGCGACTCTCACCACAGATTCGTGCCGCTTCACGCCACCCTGCCACCACTGTCAACCATCCCGCCCAACCGAATCTGACATCTCCACCTCCAATCGTACCGCGAACTGCAGCGAGGGGTAACCAGCAGCAACCACAGCCCCCTCCCCAAAAATCGCCCGAGGCCCTCGCTAGGGATGACGCACTTTTCGCGAATGTCAGCACCTGGGATGTGGATAAGTTGCGCGACAGTCGCAACTCACCTCTGGCACGTCGCCTGCCGGAGAAATTGCGCCTCATTTTTGCCATGGTGGTGCTGACACCACTCCTACGACTCGCACGCGACCCTGACTCCTTGCCTGGAAGGTGTTACTGTTTGCCGCCCGCTTGACTCTGCGTCAGCACTCGCCAAGGTATCCGGATTGGAAGGCGACCGAAAAACGCTTGCGGAATTTCCTGCGGGGGGAATGGGAGGCGCTGTACCTGGAAACGATAGATTCCCTTGAACAACCACCACCTTCCCGACACGTGCCAGATGAGCTGGGCGTCATCTCCAGGGCCGAGGGACTCGCACGCCGTGGCAGCTTGAGGAGGGCAGTCATGGCGCTGGAAGCCACCCCTGTCAGCAAACCCTCGCCAGATGTGCTGGATGCCCTCCGCGCCAAGCACCCCAGTGCCTCCCGCCCTGACTCACCGTGGCCTCAGCCCACGCAGGACTCTCACCTGTCCGTAACACGAGAAGCTTTTCTGAAGCTTCTCTCGAGATGTGAGAACGGGGTGGGTGCGAGTCCCTCCGACACAACTTTCGAGCACCTCCGCGAAGCTGCCCTGCTGCACAGCACAGTTGGTTCTCACTTACGCGCATTAGTTAACACAATCCTGAGCGGGAAACTGCACCGGGAAGTTGGGAAGCTTCTTACGGCATCACGGTTGATAGCACTAGACAAACGTGACGGAGGAACCAGGCCGATCGCTATAGGCGAATGCATCCTCCGCCTGGCAGCCAAGGCAGCGCTCGCGCAGCTGGCAGACGCAGCAAGGGAATTTTTCTTACCTCTGCAGTTTGGCGTGGCCGTGCCAGGTGGAGCTGAGGCGGTCATCCACATAGTTAGGACCTATGTGGCGGCTAATCCGGATGCTTTAGTCCTGCAGGCGGACCTTGCTAATGCTTTCAACAGCGTCGACCGCTTAGCAATAGCGAAAGCCCTAAAGGGCTCACGATTGGAGCCGCTGCTGCCTCTGGTTCGCTTCTCATACGGCCAGCCGTCCCTCCTTCACTTGGATGCGGCCTTTGCCCACCCGCCCCTGCACAATGAAACCGGGGTCCGCCAAGGGGATCCCCTCAGTCCCCTTCTCTTCGCCGCTGCCATGCATCCAGCTCTTAAAGCCGCAGCAGAGGCTCATCCATCCGTCGTCTGCCTAGCCTACGCAGACGACGTCACCTTCCTCGGGGAGCCATCGGCGTGCGTGGCTGCCTTCGAACACTTCACGGGCCATTTGGCGGAAATCGGGCTCCGCCACAACCCAGCGAAGTGCGGGGCTTGGTCCAGCAAGACGTCCCCGGATTGCCGCTTACCTGAAGGAGTTCCTCCCAGCAGCGACGGCCTGAAAGTATTGGGCAGTTACATTGGCACAGCACCAGCAACTTCTGATTTCGTACGTACCAGCCTTGCTGGGATGAGCGCGCCGCTGGACCTGATAGAGCGGATGGACCCGCAGCTGGCGGGACTGCTGCTCTCCCGGTGTATCTCTCGCCGGGTCTCTTACCTCGCCCTCACGACACCCCTGCCGTTCCTGCCCAAGGAGGAGTGGTCAACCTGGGGGCGGCGGCTGATGGAAACTCTTCTCACGGCGTGCGGGATTAGCCATCCGCGGGGTGACGAGGAGATGGCACGTGTTTGGGCACAAGCATCTCTCCCCGTGTCGCTTGGGGGACTTGGCCTAGCAGATCCCTCGGTCGAAGGGCGTTACAGCTTCCTCGCCAACTACACGCAGGCGCAGCAGCTGCTCGATTCCCTGGACACTGAAAGCATCGGCCCATTAGAGGACACCCGCGGGCTGATGCGGGGCCCCTACACCCAGGCCTCCCCCCTGACCGAGTGGCTGGCGGAATGTGAAGAGGGGCTGCCCCTGCCGGCAATGGAGGTCCTGCAAACGGAAAGAACAGCCCCAACAGCGGGGAAGCTGCAGCACGGATTGGCCACCGCTATCCAAGGCCAGCGGTACGCGGTACAAGTGGAGGAGGTGCGGGAGATGCGGCCGAACCCCAATAACGGCCACACCCAACGGATGCTGTCCCTGTCAGGTTATGGGGCGGGTGATTGGTTAAATGCCGTGCCAATCCACCAATCGCTTCGGCTCGACGCTCCCCATTATGCCAACGCCCTCCGGTTCCGGCTAGGGCTCCCCTTTGCTGCTCCGGGAGTGTGCAACTGCACGAAGAAGGTCGAGATCTTGGATAAGCGGCTGCCCAATCACCTGCTGCGGTGCGGTACAGGGGGGGGACGTACCAACACGCACAACGAACTCAGAGATGAGTGCGCGCGAATGGCAAGGGACGCCGGCTTCATGGTTCACATGGAATCGGCCGCCTTCAGCCCCGTGGAAGGGAAGAAGGCCGACCTAGCCCTCCGCGACCGCACTACTAGCGCGGTCTACATCTGCGACGTGACTGTAACGGATCCGATTAGCACACGGGATGAGAATGCAACCAGGGGGCGGGGATGGGCAGCACGGGAAGCTGCGGATAAAAAGCATGGTCTCTACAAGGACCGACCGGAAGGGGTCAAGTTCTTCCCCCTCGCGGTCGAAACGTACGGGTGCCCTTGCCCCGAGACAGTGGATTTCCTGAAGTTACTTGCTGAATCAGCTGCACGGCGGTTTTTCAACGCCGAGCCTACCTCCTACCAAGCTGCCAAACTCTTACACCAGTATCGGCAGCGGTGGTCGGTGGCTCTTCAAAGGGGGCAGTCAGTCGGGTACCAAGAGAAATGCAACATCGCAGCAGCGGTAGAAAACCCGCTGCTTGAGGCGGTAGGAGAGGCCCCGTCACTTGGGGATTGCCTCACGGTCCTGGACCCCACCCTGGATCTCCCCTAGGGAGACACGGGGGAGGGGGGGGGGGGGGGCTGCGTTGTGAGTCGAGTAGGATGCTGTGATTTGTGACGACTGTTGCGTGCCATACCAATACCTTGCATGTGTGTACTCCACGATTATCAATGAAAGGGCCATTAGAGAGGGGGGAGGAAGATGGGGGAGATGGTGAGTAGCTAGGAGGGAAAACCGTGCAGTGGACAGTGGGTGACATGAAGCAGGGGTTGCAGCTCTTCCAGTTTTTAAGGCGCCTCAAAACTTAGACGACTTTTGAGGGGCCTCAAAGAGAGGCGGGAAGAAGTTGGGGACGATGGTGAGTAGGTAGGGGGAAAACCGTGCAGTGGACAGGTGACATGAAGCAGGGGATGCAGCTCCTGGAGAGTCCATGTGCGAGGGTGCTCAGTTTAGGACAGAGCACGCATGGTGAGAGGCTGGGTACTGTGCAATGGGTTTGCATGCATGGGTTGAAGATGCATTTGCACAAAGAACGGAACGTCATCTCTGGTGTACCTGCAGCAACCACCTGCAGCATCCACAGCATACCTGCAGCACAGCAGCGTTGTTGGGTTGCAGTGAGAGGGCGAGCGCCAGCAGGGCACGGGCCTTGAGAGCATTGCCTTGCTTCCGCTCCATCACTGCGTATGCCTGGGATGGGGGGATGATAGGGATATGGGGATGATAGTGCACACAGCGGGAGAAATGGGGGAGAGCGAGAGGAGGGAGAGCAGAGTGGGCACGGTGGGAGATGCAGTGCCCAGGAGGGGCATACCCGAATGACCGGCAGAACCAGGGGGGCGTGGTGAAGATTGGGAGGGGGGCTGAAGGCCGACAGATGCGGAACATGCTCGAGGCGGGAAGTGACATCGCGGAGCACGTATGAGGCAGAGGAGGCGGTGTGGGGTGGGTGAAACAGGAGCACAGCACTGCAGAGACGCACCTGGAGAGCGGGCACGGAGGAGGGTGCTATCTGCAGGCAGCGGTCAAAGAGCGTGCGTGCCTGCGTCACATTGCCCACCCTCTGCTCCATCACTGCCCATGACTGTGCCGGGGAGGATTCGGAGGGAGGGCGAGTGAGCGAGGGAACCGGAGGAAGGGGAGAGAGAGGGAGGGAAAGGGCGAAATGGAACAGAGTCAAGGCAGAGAAAATGATGTGAAATAGTCAAGGCAGGATGTGAGAAAATGGGTTGTGAGCGAGCAGAGAGGAGCACAGAGCTGATATGGGATGAGAGCAGCAGGGGGGTATGGATGGTATGGGGTAGCAGAGGAACAGAGGTCGCAAACAAACTGCAAGCACATGCATGAGAGCGCTATGAAAGAAATGCATGCATGTCCTCTTCACATGCAACCATATGCATACACACTTGAAAGCGCTGGGGAGGGCGTGTGAGAGAAGGATGTTAAGGGGGAGGGGGAAGGTGGGTGTGAGTGTGAGTGTGAGTGTGAGTGTGACCTGCAGTGCGTATGCACATTCCGGGTCGACGTTGAGGCAGCGTGTGAAGAGGTCCCGCGCTCGCTGCAGTGACTGGGCTGACCCCAACCGAGCCTCCTCACATGCCCATGCCTGGCGTTGAGACATGCCGCGGTGAAGGGAAGAGGAGAGAGAGGAGAGGAGGAAGACATGCACGATGGCGGGACTTCAGGAAGGCTGGTAAGGTAAACATGGAAAGGTCAGAACGGAAGCGTGGCAGCAGCTTGGCATGGGCAGCAACTTGCATGCGCATGAAATGCACTGCATTGCATCAGCTGCAATATTCCACGTTGCTTGCTCCTCGCAAGCATGGAGATGTGGGTGTGAACGCACGTGTAAGGTGGGCAGCGAGGAGGGATGCACGGAGAGAGCAGCTGAGAAGAGGTCTCTCATGCGATCCACACGCCCTGCCCGTGCCTCCGTCACCGCCCATGCCTGCCACACACACCATGTGTTAATGGCAGGGCAGCAAGAAACATACACAGGTAAGCTCAAGGCACTTGGAGTAAATGCAGAGTGGACAGAGGAGGCGGCGCTGCAGATTCTAGAAATAAGTTTGTAGGAAATAGGAGCTTACGAGCAACTGAAACTAAATTCCAGGAGCGAAAACTGAGATAGCGAGGCACCCAGGTAGCAGGACATCACAATACCAAGGCATTAAGAGCAGAGGGCACACACCTGCCAGCAGGCAGCATCGGCAGGGTCAGCAGCAGCAGCGCGTTTGAAGAAGTGGCGTGCAGCAGAGAGGTGCCCCACAGCCGCCTCCAGCAGCGCGCGTGCCTGCAGCACCACGGCGTTGCCTGGCTCCACTCGCTCGGCGCGCTGCAGCAGGTGGCGCGCTGCTGTGAAGTTGCCCACCCGCCGCTCCACCATGGCCCACGCGTGCAGCCCCACCACCACCGCCCCCACCTGCTGCTGCCCTGACCGCCTCTCCGCCTGCGAGAGGTGAGGGGGAGTGCGTGCGAGAGGACGAGGGGGATAGAGAGAACGATGGAGGGTGAGGCAGGGAAGATGGATGAGGGCCCGTGAAAAATGGTGAAGGGCATACCAGGTGGTGAGGTGCATGGTAAATCACCAACAGCCCTTTAATCAGTCCCTAGTCACTGTTCACCACCATGTGCCAGCTGCATCACATCAAACCCACCATGCTACTCACAACAGCAGGCAAAGGGACCTTAGGCAACCATGGCACAGAGCACAGCACAGCACCTTCCAGGCGACTTGCAGCGAGTGCTCAAAGAGCCGTCGGCTGGCAGCGATGCGGCCGTCCAGGGCCTCCAGCATGCCCCACGCCTGCAGCGCGCGCACGTACTGCCGCCCCAGGTGCCCCCTCGCCTCAAAGCACTGCGCACTGCGCTCGTACCACTGCCTCGCTGCCCCCGTGTTGCCTGCCATGGGGGGGTGTGCGCAGGGGAGGCATGGAGAGATGGCGGCGGGTCGAGAGGGAAGCAGGGTGTGGAGAGGGAGAAGGTTGGAGCATGGGAGAGCATGGGAGAAGTGCGGGAGCAGGGTGGAGCATGAGGTTGTTTGTAAGTGGCCTGGTTGAAAGGTTGACTAGCATAGCACATGCATGCTACACAGTCCACGTGCATGCTACACAGTCCACGTGCATGCTACACCACATACACGAACGCATACAGCGCAAGCCAAGGTATGCATGGCATGTGAAACAGCACACAGAGAGAGCAAGCAGCGCACCTGCATGTCTCTCAAGCTGAGCCATGTGCACAAGCACGTTAGCATTGCTGGGATGGCGTGCCAGCAGCTGTCAACCGGGGGAACGACAGGGGGGACACATGGTGCAAGCGGGGGGAAGGGGAGGGGTTTGGGTGGAAGAGGAGCGGAGATAGCATAGCAGAGAGGAGTGAGTCATTGTAATGGATGGTGATGGCAGATGGATGGTGATGGCAGCGGCGGTAAGGGCAGCTGAAATGAAGCATGTGTCAGCTCAGAGCTTTATCTTTGTACGCGCATTGTGAAACAGGAAGAGCAGGTGAAAGCAACGGCACAATGAGAGGAGGGGAGGGTGGGGGGGAAGAGGGAGGAAACGCGGGGAGGAGATGCCAGATTGCAGTGCGGTTGATGCACACACATGCTTTCCCTTGACCAGCCATGCTCGCCTGCACCCAATCCCGCCCACCAATCCCTGCCCCTGCCTGTCCCTCCCACCCCTGCCCGCCCCTGCCCGCCCCTGCCCGCCCCTCTCCGCCTCTGCCCTTACCTCGTCCATCATATTCCGGGCTGCTGTGAGTCCTGCCTCGGACCTGCTCGCAATGTGCCGCCTCACCACCTTCAAAACCCCCTCCACCGCTGCCAACTCCTCCTCTCCCTCCCCGTCCTCTAACACCCCTGCTCCCTGTCCTCCTCCCTCCACCTCCCACTGCCGCTCCCACTCGCCTGCCTGTTTCCCCTCCCCCCACCACCACCATGGTCCCACATCCTTCTGTGCCCATCGGGTCACTTGCACCATCCGCACCCGCCCCACCTTCCCCACCCCGCCTCCCTCCGCCCACGTGCTCTTCATCACTCCCCCTTGCACCCGCACCTGCCTCCCTTGCAACCTCGCCCTACCCCTCGCCTGCCCAAACCCCCCCTGTCTTCCCCTGCTGCCGTCCCCTCCCCTCTCCGCGCCCCTCTGCTGCTGCCCCCCTGCCATCCCCCCTAGTCCAGCCCCAGACGGGCGCACGAGGCTCAGCCTCACCACCTGCGCCTGCATCCCCGCGCCTCTCCCGTCCCCTCGCGCCTCTGGCCCTTCGTCCCCCTCTTCCCCCTCTTCCCCCGCTTCCTCCCCCCCGTCCTCCGCGTCCCCCTCGGGCCAGGGCGCTTGGAAGGAGTCAAAATACTGGACAGTGGGGGAGGCCGGGGGGGAGGGGGAGGGGCTGCGAGAGGGGATGACCACTTCCCACTCTGAATCCACACTATCGTCCCATGAGGACGGGGGAGAGTCTAATATATCGCCCTCCGCATTAGCCTGGCTAGCACCATCAACCGCACTACTGGCAATGTCCTCGCTCCTGCCTACAGCATCCCCGCTCTCCTCATCGTCACTGCCCTCACTCATCCCTCTGCCGCTACCCCCATCCAACCCCTCCCTTGTTCCTCCCACTGCACGGCTATCCCACCCGTCCCTACCACGCGCGTCCCCTGCGCCCCCATCTCCGCCCAACCCATCCGCGTCCTCAGTGTTAGCAGTAGCAACGGCAGCCACAGCAGCGGCCGCGCCATTGCTCTGGAACTCGCTGGAGCTCCTGAGCTGTGACTGTGAACTGCCAGTGCTGCTGCCGCTGCTGCCGCCGCCGCCGCCGCCGCTGCTGCTGCTACTGCTATCGAGCGCCGCAGTGGTGCGGGCGGGGGCGAGTGGCTTGGAAAGCAGCGCTTGTGACGTGTGCTGCTGGGACTGGCGGTCAGCCTCCCTTAAGCTATGCAGTGCACGCACCTGAGTGGGGTCATGGCGGGACAGGGAGGAATGAAGGCGGGAGTGTGGGCGGGAATTGGGGCAGGAATGCGGGAGTGTAGGCAGAGCTGTCATTGAGAGTGGCGCATGTGTGATAGGAGCCACACAAGTGCGAAATGCGCTGCCCCACACCACACATTCCCCACGCACGCATATAGTGGAAGTCTCTCTCCCTCTTTCACACTGGTGGACGCACACAGCACACATGAGCCAACATGAGCCAACATGAGCCAGCACGAGCCCGCCCCAATGAACACACCTGGCGTCGGAAGGCAGCGAACTCCTTAGCGCAGATACTGCCATCCATGTTCGCGTCCAGCAGCGCCACTAGCTCCTCCGCCGCCTCCCGCCCGCCCGCCCCACCCTCCGCCCTCCCCCCACCGCCCCCTCCTTCCGCGCCTGCCATGCCTGTGAGCTGACTGACGTCCTCCCCCGCGCCCAGCTGCTGCATGAACTGACTCATCTCCTCCACACTGATTACTCCGTCGCCGTTCAGGTCCAGCATCGCAAAGAAATGGTCATGATCTTCCTCCTCCTCATCCACTTCCTTTTCCTTCACCTCTTCGACGCCCCCACCCACCTGATCACCGGCTCTGCCCTGATCTTTCTTTCCTTTCAAGATCGCCAAGGGAGTATTCTCCGAACCTTCCTGTTCACCTTCCTGTTCTCGTTCCCCCCTTCCCTGTCTCCCCTGCAGCTCTCTGAACTGCCCTGAACCCCACTCTGTTCTCCCATCCTCCTCCCTCTCGCCTCCCCCGCTCCAGCCCAGCCCCTCTCTGCCTGCCCCCGCCGCCGCAGCAACGGCATCAGACACGTCAGCGGCCACGTCAGCGTCAAGCGCGGCGCCCTGCGCGAGCTGCGCCATGGGGAAGCGCGGGCCCAGGCCGAGGTCCGCCCTGCTGCCCGCCGCTGCCGCCGCCAGCAGCTCCATCACCCCCTTCAGCTGCTGCATCTGCGCCCGCGCAGGGGGGGGGGAGGGGGAGGGAGAAGAAACCGGCGGAGGAGGGGGGAGGGGGGGTTTGGGGGAGGGGGGAGTGGGAGGGTACAATGAGACGAAGGAAGGACAAGTAGAACAAGGGGGTTTCGATGGGTGAAGGGGAGCATTGGCAAGCACTTTGGAAGAGCATTGCAGTGTAAAAGATGGGGCCAGAGAGATTGGGAAACGGGGGACGAAGAGCATGAGGAGCAGGGAGAGGTGGTTGGGGAAGGGGGGAGGGGAGGGGAGGGGGGAAACGGTGGGAAGAGCAAGAAGAGACGCAAGGGCAGTCTCTGCAAAGGGCAGGGCAGTGCGTACCTGGTCCTGGCTCACTCTGCTGCCGCCCTTGTACAGCCCGTGCGCCGCCCCGCCCCTCACCGCCTCCTCCTCCATGCGCGCCGTGCGGATCTGCACCTCCACCACCCGCTCCTCCCCCTCGCCTCCCCCCTCCCCATCCCCCCCCACGCGCGCCTCCGCCCCCGCCGCCGCCCCCGCGTCCGCGCGCGCGGCCCTGAAGGGCAGTTTGAGCGCCATGTGCAGGCTCTGGTAGCCGTTGCCCTTGGGCCGCGCAATGTAGTCCTTCAAGCGCGCCGAGTCCTCCCGCCACTCGCGCAGCAGCAGCTCCCGCACCCGGTAACACGCCTCCGCCGCCTCCCTTTCCGCCTCTTCCTCCTCCCCCTCCCCCGGCGGGCTCCCCTCCCCCGTACCTCCCCTCGCCTCGCCCGCCTCCCCGTCCGCGCTCTCCCCTCCCGCGCCACCAGCGCGCGCGCGCGGGGAGAGCACAATGCGGAGGCCGAAGAGGTCGTTGACGCGCGTGCGGGGGCGGCCGTCGCGGAGCACTTTCTTCATGACGCTCCACATGCTCTTCACGCGTCCGCTCACCGCCCACCCGCCCACTGCGCCCCGCAGCTGCGCGTCCCCCGCCAACACCTCCTCCACCCGCCTCCGCACCTCCCCCACCAGCCTCTCCCCGCCGCCCGGCCACTGCGCCGCCACCCACGCCTGGATGGACACGTAGGACCGCGGGAACAGGTGCCGGAGCGCCGCGTCCTCCATCTGCCACGTCAGCGCGCCGATGCCGAGCGTGTGCGCGAGTGGCGCCCACACCTGGATCGCCTCTAGGGCCTCCATCTGCTGCCGCGAGGTCGCCCTGGGGGGAGCCGCCGCGGGGGAAGACCCGGGGGAGGTCGAGGCGGAGGGGGAGAGGGGCGGGGAGGGCGGCGCGAGCGGCGCGGAGAGGTGCTGCATGGCGTCGAGCTTCGCGGCGATCTGCAGCACGACGGCGCGCGGGTCGTGGAAGGCGAGCGCGAACTGGCGCGCGGCGGCGGCAATGTCGTCGTCCAGCGCGCGCACGCGCTTGGGCAGGCGGTGCAGGCGCGCGCAGTCGTGCAGCAGGCGCGCGACGGCGGGGGACACGTGCGCGTGCACGAGCGGCAGGGTGACGTGGCCGCGCTGCACTGTGACTGATAACAACCCCGCTGCTATCACATCTGGTTCCATCTGGGGGGGGGAGGGGGAGAGGGAAGTAGGGGGTGGAGGGGGGAAGGGGGGGGCGAGGGGGGAAGGGAGAGGAGAGAAGGTGGGGGAAGAGCGGCGGGGAGAACGGGAAGAGCGGGGAGCGGGAGAGGGAATGGGGAGAAGCGAGGGGAGTGCGGATGCTAGCAGCAGAGAGGAGAGACGTCAGGCTGTCATTTTGAAGGAGCGGGAGGGGAGGCGGAATGGCACGCGAACGCGAGAGCATGCGCGAGACGAGGCGAGGTGGAACACAGAGAGATCAATACCGGACGCCTGCGGTGGGCAGTGAATCGGGAAAAGACAGAGAGAAGAGAGAGAGAGAGAGCGAAAGCGAGAGAGAGAGGGAGTGGGAGAGCACTCACTCGCAAGTCAGCGAGTATGGCAGCAACGGCCACGCCTCGTGTGAACGCGTCTCTGCCGTCCCCCCCTGACCCGCTCTGCTCATTCGCCACCCGAACCGTCTCGCGCCGCCACACCTGCCCGGCCTTGCCCCTCCCCCGCTCTTCCTGCTGCTGCTGCGCCATCAGCGCGAGCCTCAGCGCCGCCAGCACAGTCTGCACGCCGCCTCCTCCCGCTCCGCTTCCTGTTGCTCCCGCTCCGCCGTCGGCGGAGGGCGGGGAGCGCGAGGGCGGGAGGCGCGAGGCGATGGCGTCCCACGCGGCAACCATGGCTACCATGCGCTTCGTGCCGCTCGTCTCCGCGCGCGACAGCCGCGACAGCGACAGCAGCGTTGCGGAAAGAGACGGCGCCGCGCCCTGAGCTGGCTCCGGACCCGGTCTCGCCGCCGCGGACGGCGCGGTGGGCGCGCCGAGAAGGCGGGGGACCTGACTGGCGGAAGGAGGTGCGCGCACCCGGCCTCGACCCCGCCGGGATGCGGACAAGGTAGAATTGGGTTCTGGTCGCGGGAAGGAGCTCCAGCTCGCGCCCTGCCATGGGAGCAGCGCAAGGGCGGGCAATGCAATGAGACGTATTCTAACACGACGTTCGTTACTCGTCAATAATAACGGCAAGGCCGAGCGACCTCACGCTACAATTCTCGCCACTGGTTTCATACGGGGCCGATGCTGGTCGAGACGAATCTTGGAGGAGAAGTGGATCAACGAGGGAATGGGGTGGAGAACCGAAATGCACCCCTTAAGACGGCGGAACTAATGCGCGCGCGGTCGCGCCACGTGGGCCTCGTGCGTACTCCACGATCCTAGATTGATTCGCCTTGTGGGAAAGGGGTCAGAGCCGCCATCCGACAAACCCCCACCGCCGCACTCACCGCTGATCGCGCGTCCATCGCGGACGGCGCCTCCGCCGGCGGCGGTTGCGGCGACGCGGATCCCAACACCGGCCGGACTACATCGGCGTCCGCATTGCACGCCGCCTCCGACGCTTCTACCACGCGGGCCCTCAGCTGATCCTGCTCGTCGGAAATTCGCCGAATCGCCTCTTCCACGTCATCGTAACTCCGCTCTGCCGCGCGTGCGTCATCGGCGGAGCCTTGCGGAAGCGCGGGTACTCGCGACCAGCACTTGGGACCGCCGGCTATTGGCGAAGGCGATTTGAGGGACGGAGGAAATGCGGGACGGGGTCCGTGGGGAAGGGACCCCGGCAATGCGGACGAACGATGGAGCTTAGCGATAGATGCCTTATTCCGATGCGTAGGAGGCGGCGTGGAGAGGAGAGACGAAGTTAGAGCCTCCATGGGCTAGGGTAAAGTCTGTGTGGGCCTAGGTAAGAATTTAATCAGTTATGGGTGAGAAGCATGTGTGCGAAGTGGGGTGGGATGGGGAGTGAGAGTGATTGGGAGAATCAGTGCCTAGGGAATGGTGTCCGCGAGTGGTAACTAGCTTGCTGTGGCGAAACAATTTCCGTCGTCGCTCAAGGCAAGTAACCAAACTCGGAGCACGGCTCTTGGGTTCTTCTCGCCCTTCCCCCAACCCCTCTCGCAATCAGCCCAAGGCCTCTCAGGCCGCCACGTCAGGGCACATGAACTATTACACGTCATCCTCTACTTGGGTCAGTTCATCCCCTCCAAGAACACCACCACCGTGGTGGTGATTGTACGGGATGAAGGTGAACTTTGCGGGGTCTTCCTTCCCTTCGACATACTGCTGAAAGCTAACGATGAGATGAGATACACCACTAAAGGAAAGCTACCAAGGTGGATTACAAGACTTATGCAGCAGCAATAAGTTTTCCACTGATAAAATCTATTGAATCATAGATGAGGAATAAGCAACCCCAAGATATCACATAGATATTCATCCATCCATGTTCATGACTAGTGTTGGAGCAATAAAAGTGTGCGGAGAATTCTATCCTATGGGGAGGATGGCGTGAGGGCGCGAGGGGTAGAATTCTGAGTGTTGCTCTTGACAGAGTTGCTTGTTGACTTAGGAAAGTTCAAGCATAGTTTTCATTAAGAAAAAAGGGTTGAACAAGAACAAGTATGGTACAACAAGAGAACCATATACTAGAACAAAGAACCCTGCAGAACGTTCCTAGTGGAACGTTTGACTCTCTACCATGCATGTGCTTTGCCAACTCAGCAATGGCAGGTGAAACAACAAGCCCATGTGTTCCCACCTAACTTGGTTGTTATCCAGGTTGTACATGCACAGTTATGCACGTTTTTGTAGTTACAAAAACGTGTAGCAGGTTCTTTTTCTGTGGCAGGTTCAATTTCTCCTGGCGGGTACAATTTCCGTCAGAATCTGATTGGTCGAAATTTCCCTGCGCTCCCATTGGTCGAAATTCGCGCACATTGTGAATTTCTCGCGAAATTCATCTGTGCGTTCGCGTGGGTGTGCAGGGGTTACCGCGACCCTGCGCACATGAACTTCCGCGACCCTCTGCACCAGCTACGCCCTTTGCACCTGTGCACAAGGTGCTGCTGCTGCACCTACGAAGTGTACAGTACCTCGTGCACAGGTGCCTCGGCACTTCCCTGTGCACAGGTACTGCACATTCGAGCGAATCCTCGGAACAGCACCTGCGGAAGCCACAAATTTCGCCCATGCACATGCAGGGCTCATATCAACACTCCCCTGCCCTGCAAGCACATGGGCACGAAGGAAGTGTACACTCTGCGAAAGAAAACTAGCTAACGTATAGTACAAGATGACGAAATTAACTTCGTCAGCGCGTTCGTCGTCGCGCAACACCTCACCGCACCAGCCATGTTGAAGGACATGGCACCTACTTCTGCACGTCGTCGTCGCCATCGCCGATGTCTGACAGACGAACTTGGCCGATCGCGACGGAGCACCGGTTGAAGGCCGGAAAGTGCAGCCCCTTTGTCAGGAAATCCGCTGGCTGCTCAGAAGTTGCAATGTACTTCAGCGCGATCTTCCCGCGCTTCACCATCTGCTGCAGCCATGCGTAACGTCGCTCCATGTGCTTGAGGTTGCCCTTCAGCCCCAAGCCTTCCGCGACAGTGATGGCCGACTGGTTGTCCACGCGAAGAATAGTCGGCGTCCCAGGGTCCAACAGCTGGAACTCCGCAAGGAGGAAGCGAAGTCGACGAGCCTCCTTGCCAGCTTCCGTAGCCGCGACGTACTCCGACTCAGTTGACGAGAGTGTCGCACACTTGATACGCTGGCTCGACCAGGAGACTGCGGCCCCTCCGTAGACGAACACGTAGCCACCTGTGCTCGTCCGGTTCTGCTTGTCGCCTGCGTCGTCTGCGTCCACATAGCCGACCAGGCACAGCGAATCTGGTCCTCCGCCAAACTCCAAGGCGGTGTCACGGGTATTAGCGAGGTAGTGCAGACAACGATCGACCTCGCGCCAGTGGTTGTCGCTCCGCACTGTCAGGCCACTTCCCAGCTTGCTGCACGCGAACGCGATGTCCGGCCTCGTCGTCGTCGCCGCGAACTGCAGCGAACCAACTTTCTGCCTGTACTCCTCTTCATCGCGTGCCTGAGCATCCTCGTCATCGAATGTCAGCTCCGCGTAGGCGTCGACGGAGACCGGCGTCTTCTGGATGCGACCGGTCTGCTCCTCGTCGATGAAACGCCTGCGCAGCTTGTCGACGTACGACTGCTGATGTAGCCACAGCTTCCTTGCCGACCTGTCGCGAACGATTTCCAGCCCAAGGTACCTCTCGACCGGGCTGATCTCGCGCAGCTCAAAGGCAGCCTCCAGCAGCTCCTTCAGCTCCTTCAGCATCGCAAGGCTGCTGCTGGCGGCGAGGAGGTCGTCGACGTAGACGAGCACCCAGCACATCACTCCTCCGTCGCCGACCTTGAAGTAGAGAGCCTCGTCGACCTGGCTCTTCTGCCAGCCAGCGCCCAACAGCACTCCGTCGAGGGCCCTGTACCACAGCAGTGGTGACTGCTTCAGTCCGTAGAGGCTTTTCAACAGCTTGCAGACCCTACCAGTTCCATCGTCATAGTAGTCTGGCTGGTACATGTACAGCACCCTGTCCAGCTTACTCTGCAGGAATGCATTCTTCATGTCAAGCTGCATCAGGTGCAAGTCCTGGACAGCGACGATGCTGAGGAAGATCCTCAGCGTGACGTAGCTGCTGACCGGCGCGTACGTCTCCTCGTAGTCAGCGCCGTACACCTGCGTGAAGCCCTTCACAAGTAAGCGTGCCTTCTCACGCGCAACCGTGTCGTCGATGTGGTACTTCGTCGTCAGCACCCACCGGTTCTTCATGATGTTCACCCCGCGCGGACGTTCGACCAGCTCCCATGTGCCATTGGTGATGAGGCTGCGAATCTCCTCGTCCATCGCCGCCTTCACTGCCTTGCCTTTCCAGCTTGCCAGGGCCTCCTTCACTGTCATTGTCGCGATGTCCCAGCGATGCTCTGGGTCAGCGTGCACGTCAGGGTCGAGCTCGGGCAGGTCGACGTCGTCCTGCGCATCGTCGAGCAACGTGCTGTAGGAGGTCGGTGGCAGGCATGCGTAAAGGCTCAGCTTCTCGCGAGGCTTGCCAAAGTTGACACGAGTGGAACGTCGCAGCGGAGGCTCGTCAGCTTTGACTTCCACTACATCGCTGTCAGTGGACTGCTCCCCTGCAGACAGCTCCCCTTCATCGTCGTCAGGTTCACCTATGACCTCCACAACGTCACTTGACGAACCATCGTCAAGCTGCTCCCCTGTCGGCGGCTCTTGTGCAGATGCTTCCTTCGTCGACGGCTCCCCTGTCAGCTGCATCCTTTCCACCCGCAGCTCCCCTGTCGTCGAAGGCTCCGCACCCTCGTCGACGAGCTTGACATCACGTCGGCCGCTGGCGATGCCTTTGGACGGCGTCACAGGCAACGTCCGCAGGCTCCCCTCGTCGCCAGTGGCTGACGAAGGTGTCTGCTCAGGCAAGTCGGCGACAACAGGTGGTGCAGTAGGAATAGGAGGAGGAGGAGTAGGATGGACCTCCTCGACATCCTCGTCAGCAGCCTCGTCAACCTCCGCGAGCAGTGGAAACGTCGCCGTTGAGGAGTCAGTCGGAGAGTGGGTCTGCGCCCGTGCCGAAGCTGGCCCATGTGTCACCGTCCACACTTCCAGAGACATTGTCTCGTAGAAGATAGCCTCGACCGTTGTGACAAGCTTGTTGTCAGTCAGGTCAAGTACTTCCCATCCCTTGCTCTCCGGTGACACACCCAGGTGTAGCCCCCAACGAGCCTTCGACGCCAGCTTCCCACCACGCTGCTGCTCAGGGACCATGAACTGCACCATGCAGCCCCACACCCTTGCCAGAGTGAGATCAGGCTTCTTGCCCGTCAGCAACTGATGCGGCGTCGTCCCCGGAGGCAGCGTCGACCGCTCCAAGCAGTTGCGCACCCAGACGGCCTGCCGCAGGGCGAGATGCCACCAGTGGTGCTGCACGCCCATGTGCAGCAGCATCGTTCGCACAGCCTCGACGACCGTACGCATCTCCCTCTCCGCCATGCCGTTCTGCTGCGGAGTGTACGGGCAGGTCAGGTCGTGGACGATCCCTTTGCTGTTGACGAACTTGGTGAAGTCCTTCCCCAGGAACTCGCCTCCGCGGTCGGAGCGGAGCATCATCACCGACTTCTTGGTTTGCCTCTCCACGACCAGCAGCCACTGCTCGAACACGTGCAGGACGTCGCTCTTCTTGGCGATAGGCCTCACCCACACGTAACGAGTCTTTCGGTCCTTCAGCAGGAGGAAGTAGTAGCTGCCATCCTTGGCGGCCACTCGGAACGGTCCGCACAGGTCGATGTGCACGACGGCCAGGGCCTCCTCCGCGTCCGAACCTTTGTCGGGGAAGGTGTGATGAGCAAATTTGCCACCTACGCAGGAGACGCACGGCAAATCGGTCCCCGTGGAAGGCGTGATGTCCAGGCCAGTCGCGACATTGTGCTTCGCCGAGCTCTTGATGGTGTCAATGCCAACGTGCGCAAGCCTTGCGTGCCACCTGGGCGGCGTCGACTTCGTCGCCGATGCAATCGTCCGCAGAGCCACCACCTCGGTCGGCTTCAATGACAGCTTTGTCGAGCAGGGTTGAAGGTTGGTGCAAAGGATGCGGCCAGTATAGCGTGCTCGACCGAGCACCTCCCCGGTCGCGTTGACGAGCATCGTCTCGTCGCCGTCGTCCTGCAGCAGCACACCATTCTCCTTCAGCTGGCCGGATGACAGCAGGTTCGCGTGCACGCCCGGGACGTACAGCACGTCGGGGATGAGGACCTGCTTCCCGGCCTCCCCTTGCAGAGCGACGGTGCCTCTGCCCTCGACAGT